GGACACTTTTATTTATTTCATAATGCTATAAACCTAGAGACGTGTGTTATTTTAAACGCTGTGGATCCTGGTATACTTGTGAATTATGAAAACGACTGTAGAATTTTCTTCTAAAAAATTCAGTCCAATCTAGTATTTTTATAGGCTTATTGCCAAAAATTTTAGTACACACAGTAAATTAATAAAACCCGTTTCTGACATCATTTTTCTAACATGATTGGATAGCTGATGTTTTTATTTTAATTTTATTGGCTTTCTTTCTTCATAGTCTCATTTCCATTATTCCCTGGAGATTTGCCTATTGTAAATTAAACTTGAACTCTGGGTAACTGATAATTGTTGAGGTGACAGTTTCCAGTAACTGAGTTCTGCTGGGAAACAAGAAATTCCTATGACTTTTAAAATAGGTTGACCCTGTGGTTTTGGAAAAATCTTAATTGAAGACAAGTATTTTTGTCTTCAACAAACAAGAAAAAATAAGAAGCAGAGTAACAGAAGTCTAGAACTAAAGGATACATCAGTAGTGTATTATAAGAAGCAAATCAGTAACCCAATTTGCTGGTAATTAAAAGTTTTCTCTGGTCAAATAGTCCAGGCTTAACATGTAAGTTATAATTCAGATTTACATGTTGGAATTATAATTTTCTGTTCAGATAAAAAATGATTTTTGAACCAAGTGAAGGCCAAATTATATAAATTTTCAACTAATAATAGAGACTGATTTTTAGTTACATTTAATTATATTAAATATGCTCTCAAATTGCAATTTCTTTTGTGAATATCTTATATAACTAAACATGAGTCAATAATTTTTTTTTTTAATTTTCTAGGAATAATACAGCATATAAATGATATGTGTATTATACATACTTTAACTTGCCTGAAGAAATTTTCTCATCTCCATTAAAAAGACTATGTAACAACAACAAAAAAAAGATTACAAATTTACTATGATATAAGTGTAAAGAAACAACCCATGATTATGAATGCAAGGCTTCTATCACTCTGGCTTTGGCTCTACTCTGTTATAATGAACTAATTTATATATCAGATGATATCAAAGTGTGTCTTATATCCCTCTGGGAAAACATTAAGACCACTCATTTAGCTATTCAATTTTTTTTTCACTTAATAAATATTTATTTTCATATCTATATAAAGTACTCTAATCGATATAATAGTGCAATCCTGAAACTGTTTTAATGCAGTCCAGTGTTTATTCAATTTCTAACTTCCCGTATCATTTCTGTTAGAGACCTGGACTCCAGCAACGTGAAAAAGTATTTTTCAAAGCCATCTATAGCTATATGTTCCATATATGACCCTCACAGAAGTGATCATTGTAAAACATGGCCTATCCAACATCAACCAGTTCAGGATCATTTAGCAAGTTTTCTAGGAACATTACACTTAGAACAATGAGTCTTCAGTGTGTACTTGTTCTATGGATCTAGTGTTGTGATTATAAATGTACTACTAGGCATAAGTAAAGGAATTTTTTCTCCACAAAAGTTGACTTTGCTTTAATGGAGGCCTGATTTAAAGTAATTTACTTAATGGAGACTTTAGATGAAATATTTAGCTTGTGTGACTGCACATTAAGTGTTTCAAGGTTTTGTTTTGTTTTGTTTTAATGTCATTTTATTTGTTTTTCTGTAAGACCACATAAATACACTAAAAAGAAAAGACCTCTAAAAATTCACATCTTTGAGAATGTAATTTACCTTAATCTCTAAATTGTGCCTGTTTCAAGGAAACACTTTATTATTTTATTTCTCCAAATTTATAACTAAAGAAGAATGGTACGCCTAAAGAAGTGAAAAACATCAGACCGAGGGGACAGCAACCATCTCTGTAAACTTGGCACTGGAGTCAGTTCATTAACTCTTCCACAGGGTGGCAGTCATATAGTGTGGAATAGGAGAAATGAAAGTAAAACTTCCAAGTGGAAAGTTAGGGTTCAAAAATTATTTTTTAAACTTCATCAATTCATTGTATATATGTACTATGAAATGTTGAATATCACACCTGATTATGAAATCAATCTAGTTAAAATCTTATTACATAATTAGTTCAAATATTTAAAGCAAAGACAAAAGTGTGCATGGGTACAGCACCTGGGATTGACGTATAATATTCACGTGGATCTTTTCATTGTCATAGAAAGAATTAAAAATTTATATTAAAATTTTTATATTTGATTTTATACTTTATTTGAAACTGAAGTAATGTTAATGTGGAATTTTTCTTTGTCATAGAAAATTAAACATTTATAGTTGTTTTATATTAAACTTATCTCAATCAAATATATATATTTATCAAGTCATTTTAGAAAATTCTAAGATAATCTATAAAATCATTAACTATTTACATGCATGTTTTGTGTAACATGCATGTATGTATGTATACACACATATACATGTATGTATATCTACCAAGAGAAAAAATAAGTTTTTAGATACACTAGAAAGATTTTATGACTATTGTAATGGCAAGCCAGTTGCTGAAACTGTAGAAAGGTTGAATTTGTAACTATTAAGATTTTAGTAACCATTGGGAGGATGTTTTCAGAAAAATATCTTTAAAAACATCTATCATAAGGCAGATTTGCAAAGTGAGTTAAAAATTATACATTCATAATACGGGAATGATTCAATCAGTTCAGTTCTGTCGCTCAGTTGTGTCCAACTCTTTGTGACTCCATGAACCACAGCAGGCCAGGCCTCCCTGTCCATCACCAACTCCCGGAATTTACCCAAACTCATGTCCATTGAGTCAGTGATGCCATCCAACCATCTCAACCTCTATCGTCCCCTTCTCCACCTGCCCTCAATCTTTCTCAGCATCAGGGTCTTTTCAAATCAGTTAATGCATCCTATATTCAAATAGCCAAGGAAGGACCTATATGATAAATGAATAAAGATAGAGAAGAAAACATAAAAAAAAATGTGTGTATTAAGCTTTTATTAAATTATAATTAATTATGACAATGTACACTTTGACACCCAGCTCTGATTCTAAATTCTTTAATTTGATCAATAACTGAAGTTTCCATGTAGGCCAACAATTAGGGTCAGGCAAAACTTCTGTAGTAAAACAAATCAAGCAGTATGTTTTGTTGTTGTTTTTTACGAGCATGTTTTTTGCCTGTGTTACAAAAGTCTATACAGAAAGGAGGTCACTCTACCTTTGGTTGCCTAGAGCATTATACTTAATGATAGTGTGTATTTGGACTGTTTGAATAACATCAGTCAAAATAACCACATGGTGTATGTCTATGTATGTCTAGCCTCTATGTTATTAGAAATGCTTGATTTCTAGGGATATAGATATATAATAATAATCATTTAGTCTTATTCATTTATGTCCTTGTACTGAAAAGTACCTTATGGAAACCATTTTATTGGAATACTGTTGTGGTAAGAGAAACAACAGACAAAGCAGTGCTTTAAATTGAACATTTGAGACATGCTTTCAAATGTTAATCATGAAAGTGATCCCCAGGTAGTTTCTAGAACATCTGGATTGTTTCTGTGTCCTGAGTTCACATGACAATTTTTTAAGGTATGGCAATTAAATTGAATGATCAGTAGGGTGGCCAACCCATTCATGAAAATAATCCATTTAGGAGTAATTTTAACTCTGTTAAGTAGTAACACCCCACTAAAATGCATATCCCTCAAAATGACCAATTGAAGATTTTAGGAAATGAAACTAGATTTTTGTATTTTGAAGGATTAAGGGAGAGAAGGGTAGGTGTCACCAACTTCTGTTAAGCTAGAACCAGTCACCTGTCTTTACAGTTTGGGGTGATTAAAACTCTGATGTGTTCACCAAATGGCTTCTTGCATAACTAGCCAAGGCAAACCTGGACGAGTGGCTTGAGTGAAACTTTACAAGTGAAACAACCACCTCCCCAGTGTACTTTCTGGGGCAAGGGTTGTTATGATGTGATCTCTGTGTGGCCAAGACCAGCGAAAGAACAGAGACCAGATGTGGAATCTCTTGAGATTTCTGCTCTGCAGTCAGTGCGAAAGATGAAACAGATGAAACAATTAGAACATGTCAATTCAAACAGTCAATCGACATGAATTAGGGAAAAGCTCTTAACATAGTTCAAACCAGACCATGAATTCATGGCAAAGTGCTTTTCTGCATGTTTATCTTTAGAAAAAGCTAAACTGTTGAACTTAGAGTATTGGTTTACTCTGATTACTAAATTGGTAAAAATCAGTGTAAGTCAAGTAACCGTTTTATTAAATAGTTGTTGACCTCATTGAATTTATTTTCTATACTTTTATACTATTTAAATTCAGCACTTTCCAATGAATATATAAATTACAATAATTAAACAGTACCACAATTACATTTTAAAATATTTGCATATTAGAAGCAGTCAATATTTTAATTCTTTTGAAAAATGCTCAGAGCTTAAAATATTTATTTATATGTTACAGTCATCTTTTATAGAAAGTAAGTCATATGACTAACATCATACTCATACATGTGCATATTAAATATTTTCATGATGTGAAAAGTAGTGAAACTATCATTAAGTATAATGCTGTAAGTAACTAAACATAGAGTGACCTCCTTTCTATATAGATGTTTGTAGCCTTGTACCTATTAAGTAGGATTTTTTTTGCAGTGACTAGATATGTGAATAATATGTTTTAACCAGGTGAGACAGCTGATGTTGGGTTGAATCTAAAAGATGCCATTTTTACTAATGAAACCTTAGTCACAATCCTGCCACAGAATCGGGATATGATGGAGAGCACCCAAGTACTAACTTAAATTTAGTAACCAAAGTCTATGTTTAGAGTAGATTATGTGGTTTCTCTCTGGTGCTTTCCTAAGTGATTTAGTGGCCTCAATTTTCTTGTCACATTAATTAACTGAAAAACATGCTTTATTTATCTTTTATTTTAGCTCTTTTGTTTTGCCTTTCAATTAAATTTTATGCAGCCTAACCGGATACCCATTTTTAAATTCATCAGGTCCGTGTATTCACATTTTCAGTTGGTCAACATAATTATGACAGAGGACCTATTCAATGGATGGCCTGTGAAAATAAAGGTAACAAGTCTGTTTAATGACCACATTTTATTATAAGAAGCTGAATTTAGTAGTTATCACTTCTACATATTATCATTTAAAATACTCTAAAGTTGTAACTCATTTTTAAATTGAGGCAAGAATAAGATGCAGAAGATATTTTCTCTAGAGAAAACACACAAACTTTGTCTTTGGTGTTACATTACATTATAGTGTTACTTTGACATTATAGTGTTATGTTTTATTGAATTATACTAGTGATTCTGATCAAATATAACTTTGCATGAAGAATTAAGAATCAGATAATATCTGAGTTGTGTAAAACTTAGATATCAGAAAATATAACATTATATGTACTTTTTTTCTGGGTGGCTGAATTATTTTTATGTATGTGTTATACATTCCTAGATAATTCAGACTTTGTATAGTGAATCTATATTTCATTTATACTCAGAAAAAGAAAGTTATTTGAAAAATGACTCATGACAATAGAAAGAGCCTAGATTTATTCTGAAAGTTATATTTTGGCAGATATTTTATATAATATCAAATTTAGATGCCCATCATTGTATACTTTTAGTTATTTCTCCAATGAAAATAATTTTTGATGATAATAGATTTTCTACTGCTTTCTAGAAAAATGACATTTATTTTATACAATATGAGAAATGTAGTGAAGTTTCTGATAAAGCTTGTGTATTTGCTATGAGTTTATGTTAATCATACATTTTTCAAACTGATCAGTGGTATTGATATTTTAGTGTTTGCTGAATTAGAAGTACTCAGTTTCTCCTAGAAAGCCATAAAATTGTTCTGTGTTTTTTATTATATCATAATATGTAAACATATAAATCTGTTGTGTATATGTGTGTATATTTCAGGTTATTATTATGAAATTCCTTCCATTGGAGCAATAAGAATCAATACTCAGGTATGGTTATTTAAAACTTGTTTAAAGTGTTTTTTTAAACTAAGATATTTCTCTGCTCCTTTAAATATGCTCAATATGAAGAAAATAAGTGAAAATGAATGAATAATTGATAGTATTACATGAATAAATAATTCATACTATTACATTTGTAATAAAATAATGAGTATCATGGTAATGTATTGGTTTTTATTTCACTAAAGTTCCAAGTGTTTTTAAATATCTGAAACTCAGACAAAGATGTATAATTATGTTTGTCTTCTCCTATTTTAAAACATCATAGAAAATAAATAAAATGAATTTACTAACAATCTCATCATATAATTTCAACTTGTTTCTATGGCAAATCATTTAACTGAGTTTCCCCAAATTATAGGTTCAACACAGAAAATTAAACAATAATTATTTGCAACTTACAACAAGGAGATGGTTTTTCTACAGCCATTCAGTTGAAAACATACTTGTTAAATAGGTAGTGTGAACCAATAAGTTAATTTAAATATATATTATCTTTAAACATTCATAAATTGCTATTTAAAATCATTTATTCAGTTTTAAACATAACTGAAAGTCTACAAAATAGACTAAGTCAAAATTTAGTGCAAATAACATGGCTTTTGTGGAAATGAATACTGAATATGTTAAGTTTTGAAATGAAACAGCAGCTGCATTCAAGCCTGATGTCTAGTTTTGGCACAGTATTTCATTTATTTTTGATATGTTTAAATGTAGTTTTGAATTTCAGCCAAACAATCTGTGATATGAAAACAAGTATGTGGCTGCTTTATTATTTCAAATTTGTGCAGTTCCATCCAGTAAATCACAGAGCCTTAAATAGTTTAGATTAACATAAAACAATTCACAGGGAACTTATTTCACTTATCCTTGGCTGTACCTCAGAAAGAGAATGTTTTGTTAGGAGAAAAAAAAAAACTGGGGTAGATACATTGTATAAATAATACAAGTCAAATATTGTTAATTCTGAGTATGCAGACATACCATTTATGGAGTACCCAAAGTAGAAACTGAATGATTATATGCTTAACACTCTTAATAATTTTAATTCCATCTTCATTTTTACCTCTAGGTAAATTTTTCTCTGTGGAGTTTTTTTTTTTTTCCCTTAGCACTGCATTCCTAGTTATCAACCACTTAAATTTTTTAATGTGTTTATATATAGGAATATTTGGATGTTCTGGGAAGACCAATGGTTTTAGCTGGAGACAAAGCTAAGCAAGTCCAGTGGACAAACGTATACCTGGATGCACTGGTAAGCCAGGCGGTTTAACCAAAGACTGTTACAACAAAAGCACACAGCTGACTCTGTTTCTCTCTAGCTTCCATTTCTCTTTTTCTTTTCATGAATCCCTTTCAGAATTCCTTCTATCACAACATTCTTTGCTAGAATTTACATAATTTACTTAAAAATCTAGACTTGTGTGCAATAGAAAACCAGAGATGTAAAGTGTTGTTTTTTAGTTGTCATTGAGGATATAGAGTTTCAAACCCTGAATCTTGAATTTAAGATCATTCTAGTAACTTTGTGAAGTTTTATGTAAAAATAAAAATCCTCAAGTCAGATAAACTAGTAGATTTTGAACAAGAATTGTGAAGAAAGTATTTTTAAAGTAGATTTCAGCTAGCAGAAGCTTGTAGATCAGATGGTAAAGAATCTGCCTGCAATGCAGGAGACCCAGATTCAGTCCCTGGGTTGGGGAGATCCACGGAGGAGAGCATGGCAACCCACTCCAGTATTCTTGCCTGGAGAATCTCCACAGGGTCGCAAAGACTCAGACATGACGGAGCAACTAACACTTGCACACTTTCAGCTAGCAGGAGTCTGTCTGCTGTCTCCTCCATATTTAAGATAGCCTCCATATCTCAAACCAGACTCAACAAAACTCAAGTACTTGCAACTAGATAAACAAATATCTTACCCCACCCTGGAATAATCACAAACCTAATCACCTCTTCATATTATAATTTCCTGCTTTAGAGTCAACCCCAAATATTTATGGAAATAGCCCATTGAAGTGATTCAATCTGATGTGAAATAACAAATAAAAACATGTTAGGTTGTCCACTGCACAGTGGGAATTGTAGTACAGGCATGCCATCATATTTCAGAGCAGTGGTTCTTTCTCAACTGGGGGCAATTTTGCCTCAGATCACTTGGAAATATCTATAGGTATTATTGATTGTCATGACTGGGATAGAGAGAGTTTGCTACTGGCATCCAATGAATAGGTGTCAGGGATGCTGTTAGACATTCCCACAATGTACAAGAGAATCACACACATTCCCAACACACACACACACACACACACACACACAAAACAAAGACTTATTTAGCTCAAAATGTCAATAGGGCTGAAATTGAGAAATCGTATTTTAGTATAACTTTTCCTCTCCTAATATGAAAGTTATAAATAGTAATAAGGTTTATTCATATGCTTATCTTAATTAGAGAAGACTTAATTAACAATTTTGCTAGTGTAACATCAGAGAGACTTAAAATACTAAACCCTGAAAAATAGATGCTGATTCAGTAACCCCTTTTCCTACTTGGAGTTTAATTATATGCTGATACTACTTTCCTGAATACAGTGATGAACCCACAGGGCAGAATGCAATCTATTTAGAAAGAATTACTTATCATTTGGTTCTTGTAAAATAAACATATACAGGAAGTTTAGGAGAAAAACAGGCACTATTAGCAGCAGCCTTGCATGCTAAGAACGATAAAATGAAGCTTGCTTACCTCAAGCCCTTGCTAAAATTACCGTCCAGTGTTCCTTCTTGACATCACATATTTATTTAAGGTCACATGGTCATCTGAAGCTGTGGTCAAAATGTTTCACGCATTCAAATCCATCACAGGACAGAGTATGATAGGAGGAGTCAATAATTATTCCCTCTTGTATTTCCTATGACCAGAAGTTCATTAACCAGCATGTCTGCATTGTTGGTAAGGTTCTTGCAGATAGCATAAATGACTTTAGGAAGTGATTTTGGTTCTGAATCTGCTGTTCTGCTAGCTGAGACTAAATGTTAAAGAAAAAAAAAAAGAACAAAAAGAGACACATTAATTGACTGCTCAGTGGATACATAATGCTTTCTTTCTTCTAACTTAATACTCAAACATGACCCATCTTTTATTTCCAATTACTTGTGTATAGTCTCTGCACATAGCACATTCAAAAAATAATCTGGTCAGGTTCACAGTTATTTTTTTACAAAAAGATAAAAAGATAAAAATATTGCAAGACAAAATATAATAAACATAATGACAAAAATGAAAAGAACTCTAAAAATCAGAAGAAAGAGGCCACATATTTGGTGATAGAATAAGGTTAAAAATATGGTGTCATTTTAGCTAAATATATGAGTCTAGGTAAGGTTTCTATAATTGGTGATGTGTAGAGAAATTACAGAAAGGAGCAGCAAAAATTGGACAAGTACTATGTATATTGAAAGGATGATACTTAGGTCACTTTTGCAGATAATGGAAGATAAGACTAGAATCAAGACTGGGACAGTATTGTGGAGGGTTCATTTTATTTGGGAGATAAAGTAATATTCTTTATGTTAGATGAAAAGAATTACACTCTGGAAACTAAAAACTAAATATCAAATAAATTCCAAGAGAGCTGATATCTTGCTTTATTTCTCTTCTTAGTTCTCTAGAAACTTATACAGTGCCTTGGAATTGAGTGCAGTTTATGTTTGTCTAATATGTTAGAAGCCTTGTATCTCATTTGGGCACACATATTACCATACTTAGAACAAAATTTATGGTATTCTGTGTAATTGTGAAAGTGATGCAAAGAAAAAGATTGCTTCTATTTATGCCATGCTACCATTCCTAAAACCGTGCATGTACTCAATATATACACAGTTGGTCCTCCATATATGTGTCTTGTGTCAATAGGTACAACCATTGCAGATTGAAAATATTTAGGAAAAAATTCAGAAAGTTCTAAAAAGCAAAACTTGATTTTGCGAGGCACTGGCATAATGTTTACATACTGTTTACATTGTATTTACAACTGTTTACATGGCATTTGCATTGTAAGGGGCTTTCCTGATGTCTCAGATGGTGAATTTGCCTGCAATACAGGAGACCCAGTTTGATCCCTGGGTCAGCAAAATGCCCTGGAGAAGGAAATGGCAGCCTACTCCACTATTCTTGCCTGGAGAATTTCATGGACTGAGGAGCCTAGTAGGCTACAGTCCATAGGGTTGCAACGAATCAGACATGACCGAGCGACTTCCACTTTACTTTACTTTACTTTACTTTTTTGCATTGTAAACGGTATTATAAGTTATATAGAGATGATCTGAAGTCTAGAAGGATGAGCATGAGTTATATGTAAATAGTACCCAGTTTATATAAGGGACTTGAATATCCATGGATTTTGGTGTCTTTTGGATACTAGGTTTATAAATTATCTATAATCTGACACTATTTGAGGTGGAAAGTTTTCATTGCAGATATTAATTTGCATATTCAATTAAGGATGTTTTCATGGTCAAATTTTCTCCCTTAATACTAAATACAAAGCCAACATGCCTGTCATGCATCCAACTATGTGTCGTCATTTCCTTAATTTCCTTGGTCCCAAATCATTTGTTATCTTGTTCTGCTGAAAGTGTATGATTGTCCTTTCCCACTAATTCAGTTTCTACTGTTTTTGAGCTTCCCATGTGTATAATTAATAATAAACCATAGCCTAAACCATTTTCTTTATAAGACTGTTCTGTTTCTAGAATTAGAACAGGAGTCAATAGATTTGGATTTGGGGTCATTATTCAGAAAAAGATTACTAATAATTTCTCAGTAAATTCAGAATTTTCAACAATAACTTTAAAATTATTTTAAAGATTAATTTTGTTAAAAATGTAGTTCTGACATGAAATATTTGTAACAGGAATATAATTGTTGCAGATGACAATCAAAAAATGCAACCTCTGACCTGAAAATCAGTTTTTTCCAGCTAATCTCTGTGTATTCATGTAACATATGAAATTATCTACATGCTGATTAAATCTGTGTGATTATTTTTGTTCTACTAAACTGCTTCATGACTGGACTTTCATATTTGATTATTGCAGCTGTCTGCATCATTTCACTTTGTCAAAATGTTCATTTTGGAGAGCATATAGAAGCAATGTTGCTTCTTTTAACATCATAATGCTTACCTAGAATATCCGAGAAATGTATTATCAGTACCATGTTTTTTCTGTTTATAATATAATATTATTCTGCTACACATCTGTAATTTAGCCTGAAGCCTTTGGCTTAGGGCATGAAAAAATTTAAGAATGGAGCTGAGAAAAAAGAAAAGTTAAATCATTTGAAACAATATTTTAATATCACTCTGTTCATAGTGGCCTCTGATATTAGGTGAACTCACTATGAAAAAAAAGAGAGTGGATGGACAGGGTTACTATAAGTTTTAGTGTAATTTGACTTTTAAAGTTATTGCAATGCTCTCTTAAGGGTATTATTTTAGATGTTGCATGCTTAAAGAACTAACTAATAGATTCTACTAATTTCTAAGACATTTATTTCATTGACTTCTAAATAAGCTTTCAAAATCAATTTCTAATTTTTATGGCTTTATGGTTTATAAAGCAACTAAAATACAGTGTCAGATATTCAAAAACTAATGCATAATGACAAAGTTTAAATTGTTATTTGAATTTGACTTTTTTCTGTGAATCTATTTTTAGGAACTGGGACTTGTCATTACTGGAACTCTTCCGGTCTTCAACATAACCGGCCAAAATGAAAATAAGACAAACTTAAAGGTTAAAAGTTAATTGATAAAATTAATAATAATAAATGATAAACTATGACGTTGAAGCTCAGTGTGGATAAGATATTTCTATAAGGAAATACATACAACGTAACTGTCTCGTGAGGCTGAAAGTAAAAGTCAGCAGCTGTCTATGTGATAACCACCTGGGAAAAAGGAAATGCAGGACAAGTTCTCAGTTCCCCCAGAGACAAGATTCAACTTAACTCTATTTAACTGACAAGAACACAAGTTCAGGATCTGGGAGTAATTATTGCTCAGACCAGAAAGTTCATTTGGGTTTCCCGTAAGAATTTACAGAATACATGATAAATAGGCAGTACTACTGTGTCCACATTTGTAAATGCATCTAAGATACCCATGGAGTTCAAACAAAAAAAATCCAAAGGGAAAAAAAATAATATGGTAATGTCTGTATCAGATATATATAGATACCTTTTTAGGATCACTCATCCTCCAAGTCCTATTCAAGAAATTTATTTTTTTTTTAATTATCATGTAACTTAAGGATATGATTTAAAAGAATAGTTCTCTTTATGCTTTTCTCTTTTTTAAGATTGAGGAAAAATGCTTAATGAGTCTCATAAAAGCAATTATTTCTATAGCACTGGCATTGTCAATGCTACCAACCTAAAGTTCTACAAATGTTGAAAAATATATATCTTGTGCTTATTAAATTATCTCATTTTAAAAAATACTTTTGATTTAAAGTAGGTGTGCATTCCTGTCTCTTAGCTTGCATTAGAAGGGATTTAAAAATCTAGGAGAATTAAGATTTTTAAATACTAAATACTGATTTTATATTTTGACTGACACTCCTGATTTGAGGGAAATATACTTCTAGTTTATAATATAATGAATGTTGCACTTAAGCATTATTTGTTCACTTATTATAAATTTCAGTTGAACTCCTTATTTTAATAATGTTGCCATAGAAAAAATTGGTTATTCCTCTTTGGGGGCCCATTACCATTCTTAAATATCTGCTGGTTCTAATTATCATAACTCATGAAGGGAGTAATTCTCTAACTCCTCATATAGACTGTGTAAGGGATTGCTTAAATTGGGGGAACATGCTCTGAGTGGGCTCTGGGTTGGTTCATGGGAAAACAGCAGGTTGTTGACCTAACTTTCTCATTCTGTGTGTACCTACACAGGATTTACAATGTGCTTATAATAACTATTGACTGGATTTAATGACTTTCTGTGTAACATTTTTATTATTTTATAATTTATGTAATTATATATATATATTTTCATTTATATTTATTAGTTGGAGGCTAATTACTTTACAATATTGTAGTGGTTTTTGTCATACATTGACATGAATCAGCCATGGATTTACATGTATTCCCCATCCCGATCCCCTCTATGGGACACAAGGATGGAAATGGTGTTAAAATTTGGAATCAGGAATCCTGGTTCCAGGAAGGAATCAGACCTGATTCCAAATTTTAACACCATTTCCATCCTTGTGTCCCATTGAAGACTATGGTAACAATTTGCCACATGGATTCTTTTATTTGCAACTAAAACTATGATGCCCATTGTTTGGTATTTAGAAGTTAACAGCAACCAGGAATAGTATTGTGAGAATTTCCATTTTATTACACATAAGATCACATACTTTTCACATATACATTACTATTGGCAGCAAAAATACATGGTTTTTTATTTGGTATTGTCTAACTTTAAGAAGTGATTTCTGAATTGTATTATAGCACAAAGTCAGTTTGTACTCACAAATACACACACAACCCCCACTTACAGCTGTTGACTGTACAATATCAATTAAACTATAGGGGTAATTAGTACAAAAAGAAACAAATTTAAAATTTCATATATTTTTTGTATTTTAGCTGTAATAATCAAGATTTCACTTTTAACCTAGTAACAATACAGTTGAGGGAAAAGAAAAATCACAGCTGAGAATCACTGCAAACTGATAGCTTAGTTGTCTCACCCTTATACATAAATACATATATATATATTTAACCTAATGTGAAATACAAGCATTGTCGATCACAAGGATGAATGTATAATTTTGTATAGAAATGTGTAAATTTTTGGTATAAAATACACTGCCTTGTTGCTGTCTTCTTATAGAATCAGCTGATTCTTGGTGTGATGGGAGTTGATGTGTCTTTGGAAGATATTAAAAGACTAACACCACGTTTTACAGTAAGATGCAATTTTCTCTTTTGATATCTTTTTTATTTTAAAACTGTACTAATTTAGCTTGTCTTTAAAGCACTTAAGAAATTCTCAAAAATTGTGCATTTATCTTAGCAAAGCTACTAAATATTTAAAAGAATTCTTAAAAGAATGTTATATCATGTTACCTTTCTTTATGCTTTAAAATATGTGTTTAAGAATTTATTATTATTATTTTTCAGTTGTGCCCCAACGGCTATTATTTTGCAATTGATCCTAATGGTTATGTTTTATTACATCCAAATCTTCAGCCAAAGGTATGTCTATAATTTGTTTACAGTGATAGTGTTCTGTAAAATTAATGATTACTGTTCTTATTAGGTTCATCATTTTTAAATTCACTATATAGCACTACATATAAAAAAGCATTTTGTGTGTAATGTTAATACGACAAGGCCACAGTTGGTGCGAAGATGTGAAAGCAGTGTTCATTTTCGCTTACCAGCTTAGCTCTGCAATATTCCTATCCAGTATCCAGCTAACCAGTAGTCCCGTCTCGGAGGCAGTCATTATCCCCTCCTGGCCTGAGCCTCGCGCATCCTCCTTGATGTTTTAATTAGGCAGAAGGTAATAAAGGAGGTTGCCTGGATGGTGTAAACCTGATAGCATTATTCATGTTCCTCTCTGCGTAGTCCATCTCTCTCTCTCTTTCTGGTAATTCTCTCTCCTTTCCATCTCCCAGGCTTATAACGATATGTATGAAATGCAGTAAGTAAAACTCAGTGAGATGGACTTCATAACTGGGAAGGGTTTATTAATCAGTGAGTTCTAGGAAAATTATAAAATTCCATACATTAAAGATTTTATCCCAATCTTTATTCCTATTTTCCCAGGATATAAAATACTTTCCTAAATATCTCATCCAATTCATTTCACTTTTCATTAATGCTTCATGGGTAAAACACTTATGTATCTATAAGTAAAGCTGGCAAAACCCTATTTATTTTTAATTTATAAGCAGCTTCAAGTTATTATTTAACTTTGAAGATAATATTAAGGATAATTTAAGCCACGCTTCAGGGAAATCTATGCAGACTTACACATATGATTTCCTTCTCCCCAGGCATAGATATTTAATCTTAGAGATATTTTAGGATATCAAGTAGGGTCATTAAAAATTATTCAAAAAAGTAATAATTAAGAACCATTGATATTGAATATTAAAACATATTGAATTGTTATAACTAATGTCTGCATTTTATTTCTCACTCAAAATTATTTCCATTAAAAACCATCATTATCTAAATATTTACTGATTACTTGTACCTACTGATCACCCTGAATTATTTTTAAGGTTGTTACTTTACTGTAAATATGACAGAAGCATTTCTCATGCTATCATTAGTGTGTCACAGCTCTTTAAAACCATGTCAAGTGTCTTATAATAGAGCTGTTTATGATCGGCTGACATTATGATTTTTTTATAATTGAGCATTGTTCTTTCTGAATCTTAAGATTTGTAAAAACTATATAGTATTATTTTGTATTACATTGTATAGCGAATATATTTAAATTATATTCCCATAAGTAACATGATTTAAATATGATAATAACATAATGTGCTGAAGGGTGTGAAGGACTGCTACTTTTATGTAGCTGGACATTTTAGATTGTGAGTCTAAACTCCTTCCCCAAAAGGAACTAAAATATATCACAGACAAAATAATAAAGAAGAATAATGAGAATAATGAATATATGTAAATATATAAATCGATCATTTAGAGGTAATTATTTGAAAAGTTTTTCCCCTTTCTGCATTCTTATACTAATAACCAGTATTTATGTGGAAAATATTTTATTACTGTTTGAATGCTTTAAACATGTTTCTGGCTCATACTTGGAATAATCAATTTACTAAAATTTTGAAAGCTACAAACAAAATATAAATTATTTATAAATTCATATTAAAGCCCAAGTGCTTAATTTTTCTTCAGGATTATGTTATTTTTCATATTTTTATATAGGAAATTATTAAGAGAATAGTTTTAGAGAACCATTTAAAATGTTTGAACTATCAGTGTTTTTTTTTCTGAAGTTCATGCTTTTGAATTAAATATGCTTATTCTCATTATTAACAGGTTAGATATAATTCTTTTTGTGGATGATGGTACTAGTTAGACAGATAGATACAAGAACCTGATAAAGGATAATACAGTGTAATACAGTTGTTTAGAAATTGATAAATACAGAGTACCAATATGGTTAGAGTAGCATGCTAGCAAAATTAATCTTGATTTTTTTCATTCAAAATTCACCAGTGAAAATATAGAAAAATAATGCCATGTTCCATAGTACCCATTATTATTTAGCCAGATCAACATTTAATCTTATGCAGGCATTCTTTGCTGAATGCCTTGTGTTTGCCTCCTGAAACTGTAATCTTAATTCAACTTACTTGAGTACAATTCTGAAATTTTTAGAAGGCAGAAAAAGTATCCTAAAGCCAAGAATAATGGAAAATAAAATATCTGTGAATCTTTTGCATATCTAATTTTCTAAGGAATCATTACTTATCTTCTCAAAGTGACTCTTCAAAGTCTCTACCATGACCAAATTTTGACAAGTGCTAAATTATGTATCCTCCTTTATTCCAAAATAGAGTTTAGAATTCCTCCATTTTGTTTCATTGACATAACCAGATTAGGTATACTTACTAGATATCTCATTTTTTATCAGTCTTAAGAAATATTTATTGTATAGGAAATTGTGAATAATTTACATTTTAGAAGTCAGTATTTAAAATAAACCTACAGTGTTATGATTGAATTCACCATTTGTTCCATAGATACAATATTTGTTGTCACTAACAAATGCCCAGATTTGATGGGTTTTGTTTGTTTGTTTTTGCCGTTCCATGCAGCATGCAGGACCTTAGTTCCCCGACTAGGGGGAACGATATTACCTCTGCAAGTAGAAGCATGGACTCTTAACCACAGAACCACCAGGAATGTCCCGCAAGGCCACAAAGTTTAAGCATTTAAGATCAGAACTTTTCAATATCCTATAATATTTATATTTTAACATATATGAATCATATACATTCTAAAGTATTCCTCTTTTGTGCTTCTGTTTGTTTGTTTTGTTTTTAAAACAGTATAGTGAATTCCCTGGCCATCCAGTAGTTAGGACTTGATGTTTTCACTGCTGTAGGCTTGGATTCAATCCCTGGTCAGGGAACTAAGATCCTGCAAGCCATGCAGCATGTGAAAATAAAATAAATAAGCATAAAAATTGTCTGAGAGAAAGCATCTTTCTCCTTTCCTACTTTATTACTTTTTTTTTAGGAATAAAAGGAAAATACTAGTAATTTTGCTTTAAACAATGTTTAGTAATTTTACTAGGTTTACATATTTTTTCACTAAAAATATTTTTGAACTTTTGTTTATTAACTCATCATGAACTTGATGACACCTGTTTCTGATTGAGGAAATATCTGACCAAAATTGATGATAAGGTAAAACCTTTACCCAGGTTGATACACAGTTGGTGAATTACCATCTTTCTGTTGCTTCAGCCTATTGGCATAGGTATACCAACAATTAATTTAAGAAAAAGGAGACCCAATTTTCAGGTAACTGAAGTTAGCAGTGCCTTCAAATTTGCTAAATCAGAGTTGCGATCAAGCTTCTTTTCCTAAAAGCATATGATTAATGCCGCCTTTCTTGATAGCAAGCTTCCAGAGCATGAGATGGAGATGAGCATCATTTCTCAATAAATTGGAGCAAAAATGTTATTAATGATGGCAGAGGGTATGCATTTGCTGACTAAAGACTGCTGCAAATTATGTAACAATGATAATAATCAGAGTAATCACAAAATTAAAATTAGGTTTGTTATTAAATATTATTGTGAAATCAGTGGCAGATCCATGTAATCCTAACAATTGGTTGTAAAATTAACTTCTAAGTGGAAATAAAAATACAATTCTGATGTCTAATTTCTATGAATCACACAATTTAAGCAAAAATTTGGGGGGATTTCTAAAAGCATATTTTCGGGTTAGCAGTTAGAGAAAGTTCACGTCACCTAGTTAAAAATGTCCAAAATCGCAAATTAATATTGTCTGGAAAACTCATTTGCAAAATCTTTCTTCTGGTGGGAAAATAAACATTAAACACTAAAAATAATCATCATGAAAGGATTCTTCCTATAGTTTCATAAAGTTTAGTAAGAGCATTTCAAAATTTTGAAGAAAGTTCAGTATGACTTAAGGTTTTATATGTAAGCCTATTTATTTTTTTAAAAAATGGTGATTATTGTAATGGAGAGGTAGTGTGATATTAATGGACATTACACTATGAATTTGTAGAACTGAACTCCAGTTTGTTCTACTTATAACCAATACTGTCTCCTTGAGTAGTTCACTAAACGTCATGGTACTTCAGTTTCTTCATCTGAAAAGTAGGAAGATTAAACAATTAATTATTTCCTATCCTACACAGGATAGTCTGAGGAAGTTAAATCTAGATATAGATCCCCAGCTCCATCTCCTGAAAATTCTGACCTAATTTGGCCAGGGATGGGCCCGAGGCTCATGAATAGTTTTAAAGATTCCCAGGGAATTCTAAAGAACAAATAAAAACTTCGGTTCCCTTCTAGCTCTAAAATTCTGTGACAATCTGAATTTCACGTTGTTGTGTCAGTCTTCATATCTTTTATGGTTCCTCTACAGTTAAAATTTGTCTTTTCTTGATTTATTAAATTGTTTTATGTTACTCCTCTTGCATGTTTCTTTTTGTGTATTACCTTAAATTATACTCATTGCAGTCATGTGCATTTTAGTGAATTTTTAGTTTTGCAATACTTTCAAATACTGCATGTAAATATTGTGATATAATCTTAAAAAAAAAAAACAACCTGGAAAATGGTTTGTTTTATTTTTAAGGAATCTTCAAATGGCAAACTAGCAACCACACAAGACTTCTAAATTTAGAAAATATTTTTTGAACTATGTGGTATTTTTAATAATGCTGTTAATTATTTCAAATTAAAATATTTTACAACATTACATTCTGCCTTTTATTTTAGTTCCACAAATAGTATTAATCATTATATTAGTTGATATTTAAATTTTTCAAGTGAGGATTGTTGGATATTTAAAACATATTTAAAAATATTTAAAAAATGAAAGTATTGGGAACACAGGGACTGGATTCAGTTCTCATGCTTCTCTTGGTACTTTTCGATATGAGTCTGCTTTTGAATTTTTCTATCACTTTACCTGTGATGAGTCTTTTAAAAAATGGTCAGCCAGATTGCCATATACAAATTACAAGTGATGCATTGACATTTTTCTTTTATGATTTCCTTTTCCTCTCTGTGTCTTTATATGTTGGATTGGGACATGATCTTCATATTGCCAATTCTTCCTGATAATGCCTCCTCCATGCATGCTGTTTGGGTCTGGTCATGCTATGCATTATCCATTGCATGTAAGATGATATTCTTATTTATGTTTATATTTTATCATTTTGTTTTGACTTTGTTTTGCAGTGAGTTAAAATTGTCATATGCTGATAGGGTGTTTGTGTAAAGATAATTTATTTCATATGACTCTAAGTAAGAAATTTAGAATAACATTTTCAACTTTAGAGTCCCCTTTTGATAGAAATGTGCTCAATTTCATATTTGAAGCAAAGGACTAGAATTATTTTCAATGCTGATTTTTATTTTCTTCTTCTGCAACATGTTACTTTTCAAAAGAGTACTTCTGAACCAGTAAAATGCTGCCAAAGAAAAATCAGTATTTTAACCTGTTGAACAATCCAATATTTATTTTCAATATTTTAGAACCTTCTGAATTTAGATATCAATTTCATAAGCAGTGAATTTTTGTTTGTTTGTTTTTGGTTTTTTTGAATTTTTTTTTAATAGAAGTGCCAGGCATAGTTTTTTTCTTTTTTTTCTTTAAGAATTCCCATTCATCAAAACCTATGGGAGTTATATATTTTTCATTATTTAAATGGAATTACTCCCTAAAGGCACTTCTGTCATTATTATAAAATGAATACATGCTATGTATATTGTGTTAATCAGCATTTGATATAAATATATAATACATTTCATTTTTGGCATTGTCTTTGGTAGCCAGCAGTTGTAAAACAGTGTTTAAAATAATGATGATTCAAATGTATTTTGGAAGAGCCTGTAAGGCTATAATTTTTTAAATTCCAGTGACCTGCACTAATATGGCATAATTTGTGTTTATTACTTCTATCTAATTAGTTATAATATATTGATGGTATCTAACTTAGTAAACATTAAAGTCCAGCTTCTAAATTTTTAAAGTTGTAAAATTATAGACATGTATTATGATTTTATGTTCTAGTGAACTTTGAAATTCTACTATGACATGTTGTATTACTCGTGTTATAAGAGAATAGTATATATTTGTTTATCAAATATTTTGATGTCCTTACTTTATGATTAAGAAAATTTTTAAATGTCACGTGAGGTCAGTTTACCAGGTTAACACTTTTGTTTGATATAGGTGTATAAATAAATAATCTGCCTGTTACATAGTGAATTGATTTCTTACTACACACTAGCAAGAAGTAGCAGTAGGACATGTTAAGCAGGAAAACATTATTAGTGAACCTGTGGTTTATGTTTCAAGTTAGACTTCCATAACTGATCTTTATTAGAACCCTTATGACTTGATCATAAATTTTATCTTCAAAATTGATAAAATAATTATTATTTATAATGTTAATAATTACATTATTAAAATGTAAAATTTCTGGGATTTAAATACATGAATCAACTTGCATCTTTGCTTTATGCATTTTAAGATGGAAGAATAAATTTAGAAGTGTCTGTTTGTTAAGTAAATTCAAACATTTAAAAAATATTTTCCCTCATGTAATTTCTTATTTTTTATAGAATACAAATAATGTATATTACTTACATGTTGCCTTTGTTTTATTGCCAAATATATTATCCAAATGGCTATATTTTGCTCCTTTCACATCCTGACTAAAGAAAAAAAAGCTGTAAGTGGATCTTCAGAAGTCATATTCCCACAGGATTTGTGATTATAAATGTCCCATCTAACACAGGACTCAAAATATAAGTATCCTCAGTTAGTGATTAATAAGAATTTGCCACAATTAAGGCTCAAATTCCCAGCCTACTTATTATTACTTTAAAATATATATGAAAGAATCTGCATTTATACAATTATTTAGTCAGCTTTTTCATATATCTTAGGTAAGTAATTTTTATGGAATTAATTCTATATTTAAATATCCCTTGAATTATTCTCTATACAGCATTTTACAATGTCATATATGCTTAATTGTTCTCTGTGTAGAACCCCAAATCTCAGGAGCCAGTAACTTTGGATTTCCTTGATGCAGAATTAGAGAACGATATTAAAGTGGAGGTAAGTGCAGTTGGCCTGAGCAACACCCTCCCATCAGATGCTGGGATTCTTCCAGTCTACAGGATTTGTTTAGCAGTTTCATTGTGTTGGTTTTCTCTTTGGACTATATGCACAAAGATGACTGTTTTTTGTCTTTAAAAATTTCCAGATCCTAGGCTTTCTCATCCGAAAGATCATATGAAAAGGAATAAATATTTTAAATTGGATGTGACCTTATTGTTTTCTTTCTTTCTCCTTCCACAGGTTAGGTTATATTTCAATACAAATATAACTTGTAAATTTCAATTAAAAAAACATAGGGAGGAGGATGTTGCCATAGAATTGAAAGAAAATTTTCAGAGAATTTAACTACTCAATAAGCAACATGAGGAAAGAAGCTGCCATGTTTTTCTTAGTACTCTATTGTCGGAAAATTTCTATTTTATATCAAAACCAACATTGCATGCCACTTCCTCTGCGGGGACCTTCCATAATAATAAAGTAAAAAATAAAAATGTTAGTCACTCAGTCGTGTCCAACTCTTGGCAACCCTATGGACTATAGCCAACCAGGCTGCTCTGTCCATGGGATTCTCCAGGCAGGAATACTGGAGTGGGTTGCCATTTCCCTTCTCCAGTGCATCTTCCCAACCCAAGGATTGGACCCAGGTCTCCTGCATTGCAGGCAGCTTCTTTACCATCTGAGCTACTAGGGAAGCCCTCCATAATAATAAAGATAATTATTAATAATAACACTTATTGAAGTATGTGATATGTGTCAGTCATGGCTTTTCAAGAGCTTCTGAAACAGGTACATTGTTTTTGTTGTTATTACTACTATTATTATATCTGTTGTACTGATCATCTATTTGAGGTACAAGAGGTTACATAACTTATCTCCAGTTACTCAGCTATTAATAGTAGCAGAACCAGAATTTGAACCTGGCTCTCATGCTCCAGAATTCTTTCAAGTTAATTAACTCTGTCACTTATCTATTCAAAGACTCTTGTATTTCTTTTATGGTTTGTCACACATTTGTAGTTGCTTTCCACATTTTACACATTTACTCCCTCAGTGTAGAAAAATAAAATCTATGTATTATAATTACCTTAGACTGCGGCATAGTGCTGGGATATTTTAGGTAAACAATGAATATCTGTTGTAAAGTGTTCTGTCAGGATAACCTAAAATAACAATAATGCAGTAACTTTTAAAAGAATATTTCCACACTTTGTTGGTCTGTTGAGTGTCTGCATAAAGTAACTGTTTCAATTTCCCTTAGATTCGAAATAAAATGATAGATGGAGAAAGTGGAGAAAAAACATTCAGGACTCTGGTTAAATCTCAAGATGAGGTAAGAATTAAGCCAGATTTATTCTTAAATAAAATGTATATATTAATAATAATACGTGACATTAGTGGTCAGTCTGATCTAGTAAAGCAATAGTTATTTATCAAACAGAGATGTTTCTAGTAAACAGATTTATTTAAAGCACTCTTTGCTGGAGGGATAATTTCAGTAAGACTTTTAAATCTGAAACTTTTATAAAATAATGTTGCTATAGGTTTCTTAATGTATTCTTACATCACTAATAATATATTCTTGAAAATTACATTTTTTAAAATTTTATTGACGTATAGTTGATTTACAATATCATATGTTTCAAGTATATAGCATAGTGTTTCAGCTGTACGTACATATACATACACATATATTCTCTTTAGGTACTTTTCCTTTATAGGTTATTACATAATATTGAATATGGTCCCCTGGGCTCTACAGTAGGGCTTTGTTGGTTTTCAAAAATTGTATTTTATATCTCCACTTTTTCTATCACAATAAGAAATAGAACACACAGTATAATGTTCTGCCATGTTCTTTTAGGCCATTTCAGTCATAGAATTTGAAGTTAGGACTTAATAGCTGTATGTTTTGTATGGCTTGTGCACGCAGATGTTTTAGTTGCTGAGTTCCATATATTAATTTTTTTTTGTTTCTCGTTTACTATTTCCGGCTTGATTTCTTTTACTATTTCTGCATGATTGCCCTGCATTTAAATCTGAAATTAAATTGAGAAAACATAGCTACCACCATAAAATCACTGGTACAACTATGTAATGCTTGTATTGTTTTATAATGACATTGGAAAATTCCTTGTGAATTGAAAGTGTGTCTATCCATTATCAGTCATATAGGGATATGTGTTTGTATATTTGAGTATTTGAAAAATACATAGAACTCACAAGCTTTTGAGCCTAGAAATTTAATTTAAGCTTTTATGTATAATTGATGTCTTTTCCTCATAATCTCATCCATTTTAAGTGTACCAATACTCCTGAGTTTGTAAATCTGTTTTAAGTGTAACAAATCTCCTGAATCTGAATCAGCAGAATTTTTTCCCTAAGATGAAGCCAGGATCCAAACATAGTACTTCATTAGCACCTGCCCTTTCTCACTTTAATCAGGAGTCCCAATTACCAGAACACAAGGGGGTATATATACATCAGTGTCAGTCTTGAAATTTGAAATGTTTTGTTGAAATGTCAGCTCCGTTTACTTAGACTTTAGCCATGCTGTTTATACCCTCACTTTTCTGAGAAAGGAGGTAAATCAATCAGCAGGCCTGCCAACTTCTCTCTGTTGATCTGCCAAAAAGAACTCTTTTACCTGTACCTTCTTTTTTTCAACTTATAGATCAATTTTGTTTCTATTAAGTCACTTTTTTATTTTTCTTCTCCAACTTACTGTAAATTCTTTTATTTGACCAATATCCTCCCATAGACTTTTCGTGTTAATAACCTTGAAGAATGTGGTGTTTTGTGTTTTTATTTCTCTAATCTGATACTGTTTTTTATCTTCTTTTTTTAAAACTTGTGGAACAATACTAGTTTGCCCTGGTTTTTTAGGAGGAGTAGTAAATATGTAAACATTTTTGTTTTAATTCTTTTAGGAATTTTATGAGTCTAGAAACTTCCCGTGCACTTCCTGTCCTCTCTCCCCCATCTTCCACACACATAAATAAAGCCATGGGGATATTTGATGTATAAAACAACATTGTGTAGTTGTTATAAAATGAACTTGGAATCATGTATTTTCTTTCATCCTGCCAGTTAAACTCGTCTTGAAGATTCATTTTCCAAATCAGTAAATTGTGGAAAACAATAGTATTTCATTTAATCCAGTGGGTTGATTAAATGAGACAAGGATTGTAAAATGTTTTGTATATTGCCTAATATCAAGTAATAACTTCAGTGAATATTATCATTCTGCTAAGGATGATGACACTGGAGATAACTGAAAATACTAAAAGATGCATATGTATCATCACTAAATCTAATGGAAGAAGGAATGATAATTTCTTTACTACCCTTCAATAGCTACATAAGAAAGATTCAATATCTAAGAAGTCATTTAGCTCTTTCTTCCTTTCCCTGGTGGATATAGTTGTTTTTCTAACCTTCAATAATATTAAGTAATTAGTATCTAAGATAAATACTGTAATAATAGCTTAATAAGAACTGCTACTGCTAGTCCTACTGTTTAGTCACTCATTTGTGTATAACTCTTTGCAACCTTATGGACTGTAGTCTGCAAGGCTCCTCTGTCCACAGGATTCTCCAGGCAAGAATACTGGAGTGGGTGGTTATTTCCTTCTCTAGGGGATCTTCCTGAACCAGAGATGGAACCTAAGTCTCCTGCTTGGCAGGCAGATGTTTACCACTGAGCCACATGGGAAGCCCTTAATCAGAAGAGTAATATGCTCATCATACATTTGGATGTAGACATTGCATTAAATTCCCAATATTACCAATTTATCTTAAACATACTCTACTATGGAAATACCTGAGTGTTATGTAATATTTCAATCATGTTTCATTATTAAAATTTATTTTTTAAGAAATGTTTTTAAAGTTTTGATGTTAATAATTTGGCATAAATTACTAATTTTAAATTAAGATTTTCCACTTAAATGTCCTTAAAATTTATCATGTGGGTACTTTTTTTTCCCTAAAATTTTGCTTTACACACACACGTAACAAATAATTGTAGAGTGGAATAGATCAGACATTTGTGAAGAAGGGTATTGAATCACCACTGAATTTATAAATAGAGCCTAATGTTCTGCTGTTCTTATCAATTAACATAGGATAAAAAGTGATCATAATCAAGTCCAACTCTTTTTTAGAGATATATTGACAAAGGAAACAGGACATATACATGGACTCCTGTCAATGGCACAGATTACAGGTAATTAACCATATTTATATGTGTGCTTATAAAAAAATATTCAGTGTCTTTCACCTGTTTTTATTACCTGTTTTTCCAGTGGATGAATATTGTTTTTATATATTCTCAAACTGTTCTCAATGTAATTAAAATAGAAATGTTATCCTTTCCAACACTAAAATGCATTAAAGTTATACATTATTATTTTCAAAATGGGTAAGATGGGGAAAAGCTAGAAATATAAAATTTAGAAATGAAAATTTGTATGATATGCATATATTTGATATTTTGTATATTTATATTAGTAAAAGTTGACAAAATCCCCTTATTTTGTAGTCATGACCTCCACTGACTTCCTCATTTACATTGTTATGTAGTTTACAGTACTTAAATTTAGATTGCAAGTTAACTTAAAACTTCTCACATCATCATACAATCTGATATAAAATGCTCAACTGATATAATTTAACCCCATGAGTAGAAATTCTGTAATATACTGATTCTTCCAGTTGAGTGGACTTTGAAAAACTGGACAGACTAATACCTTAACATTTCTTGGAAATTTTTCATTATTCAGCACTTGCCGAGCGTTTTCTTTGCTTGCTCTAACTTTAAAGTCACCTCTTTCCCTGTGGTCCTGCTTCCTACAGCCTCATAATACTGAAGCTGATCCGATTATGTCCTTCTTATCCATTCTTCCTTCCTCCTCCTTCACATCCCCACCTTTGGATCTCATGTCACCAGACAATACTGCCTACCATTCCTCCTTTAAATAGTCATCCCCTTCTCATTTCAGGGGTTTTGATTCCTGGGCTGGTTGCCACCCTCTCCTCCATTCGCATGGATCACTGTTTCTCAAACTATTTGGGACATACCCACAGTTATATAAAACAAAAATTGTTTACTAAAATAAACACTAAAAGATGAAAAGTCAAGTGGACAACAATTTTTATTGGATTTCATAGACATAAAATTAGTCTGTCAGATTACTATAAAAATTTCTAAATGCTTACTCTCATTTTCTATACGTAACTAATCATGACCTGGTAATGGGTGGTTTGCAAATGGGCTAGGTTCCCTGGACATACTTTAAATACCACTGGCATAGATGATTTTTCTAGTGCCTGGACTCTCGGTTTTTCTGTCTCCTCCTCTCTGATGATCTTGTCAATCCCCAGTCTTAGCTACCTGCTTCAAAGTCATGTCCTGCAACTCTAACATTCAGACTGCAAGTCCTTCATAGTCTTGAGATTTCTTTTTAATCCAACTGTCAGATGACTACATTTTAACTTTCCATCCCCTCCTTCTGATAGCCCGACTGCAGCAATCCTTTGACTCAGCTGAGACCTGAAATTTATCAACTCCTGAGACCTTTCATTGTCCTTGCCTTCCTCATGTGCATGTACCCGTTATTTCAGCATAAATTCATTGGATCTTATTACGTTCACTCTCATATTAACGCCATCAACTCGTATTTAAGTATGGCAAAGAGTAGTTTGACCAGTTTCAATCCTAGTTAAATTATTACCAGTACCACACAGCATCTGCACAGTTACAGGTGGGAAAAATAAAATATTCCTTGACTGATAATGTCTAAAACCTCTAAACCTCAAGTAGACTTCAGGGATGCCTACTGATCTTAATAGTCCAATAAATTTAGGAGGCTTCTAGATGACTTTTGATAGCTTCACTCCTTAAACCCATCTCTTTCCCATCCATTTTCTCTGTTGATCTGAAACTATTTTGCTCAGTGAAATAGGAAGCAATCAAAAGAGACCTTCTACCACCATAGAACATAACTATTTGCATCTATTTCTCCATCTCCTATCTCTGTTTCTTTTCACAACACAAGGGTCATATTTCACAAGAGTCATAGTATTAATACTTGAGTTATATTGTTTCATTTCCCTACCCACAATACTCCAATAATTTGCTGTCTTAATATCTATAAAATCTAAGGTTTGCCCAGGCCTTACATCATCTGACTTCATTTACCATCAGTTCTCTGACATTGTCGTCTCAGATTCTTTCCTGAACCACCTTCATCTCCATCCTCCTTGCTGCTCCTCATAAATCTGGAACCACTCTGCCTCAGGACCTTTGCACCTGAACTTATTTCCCTCTAGGATGTAAAGTGCCTCATCATTTCACATTATATATATGTATGTACACATGTGCACATATATATATGAAGCATATATAAAGAAATTTATTTCTACTGTTGATTGTTTGTCTCCCCCTCACTATTAAGTTCTAAGAAAGCAACATTCCAAGATTGTTAAATTCTGAGATTCTAAGATTGTTGCCTGCTTCATTTACTTTTGAATCCTCAGATTATAAGACAGAGGAACACAGTAGACATTCTATATATCTTTAGACAGTTAAGTATTAGATTTCAACTTGTTTCTTTCTGTCAGATTCAAATAATAGTGTCCAGACTTCCATTGAAATATTCAAATATGAAGGATTCTTTGACTACATATTAATGTGTGATTAATATGTAGCCTAATTAATAGGCTGTGGTAGACTCAACCATTTATTTCTTAATAAAACCAAACTATATTCCTCCTGCCTCTGCCTCAGAGCATACACCTAACTTTGCCGGAGAATCTAGAGTACTGGGATTCTCTTAAAGCTGTAATATTATCACAGGAGACCATTGCCTTTTGTGTTGCTAGGATGGCATACGGACTCAATCTAGAAGAGGAGCCCATGGATAGTAATGTCATGATACACCACTACATGCCAATATTTCTCCATTGTTTTAGTTTTTCACATAATTTTGAATCTACTGAAAAATACCAGTATGACTGTTTTACTTGTATATATCTCTTGATTTCTCTCATTGCTATTAGGCATTTCTTTATACATATACCATCTTTATGTATCAGTATATACATAGGTCACTTTTTTCCTTTCTGTTCCATGGTTATTGCCAGCTTGATTTTTTGGATAAACTTGAGAAAGGGTGTGATAGCCAAGAGGAAATCTGGGAGTCCTGTCTCTTTAGAGGTGACTTCATGATAGGAATGTGCTCTTTGCCTCTCTTGGTTAGACAAATAAATTCCAAGTTAGAAAAATGGTTTCTTTTTGACCCTGACAGTGAGTCATTCTGATGGTTGGTCCTACTGCAGTCATAATTACACTCTGGGGGAATTATAAATTATTATCCTTAAATGTTTTTAATAATCTCACAAATGTCTCTGATATTCCTCCCCTTCCCCTCCCACCCCCAGTCGTAACTCAGGTAACCATATTAATGTTCTTTTCTTCAGTTTTGAGTATTTCTGTCCTTGTTCACAGAACTTTAGTCTCTTCCCATTTTCATTCGAGTTCAGGCTTACAAGCTTGAAATTCACATCATGCACCTCTTGCCTAACCTTTCTGCCCTATCGTTTCCCCCACTATCCTCCCCACAGTAACCACTATTCTCTGAGCAAGCTTCAACTTCATCATCTTTGAATGTTTTCTTCACACATTCCCTTCACAAATCTATAACTTTGGGATAGATTAAATTTATTTTCATTGTAAGTACTCCCTTGAATCTCTGTACAAAGAAATTCACAAATAACAAAGTAGAACAAAACATTACATCTGAGTTGAAAAAAAATGGAAGTGTTTTTATGTAATGTATGAGATATCAAGTTTTACTTAGTAATTTCTGTCTCCTTAAGCTTTGGTATAATTTGATATAACATATTTTGAAGTATAGAAGTTATTTTAATAGAATATTTTCTTTTTAATGAAGAGCGATTTTATGGTGATATAAATGATGGAATAGAAAAGTGTGTTATATTCCATTTAACTAAGTTAACCATGTTTATGGGAGTTGCAAAAATATTGCTTGGGCTGTACCATCCATCTGGTGGCCACTGCCTTTATTGGATTTTAATCCCTTGGAGAAAAGAAGGCAGCCTTAGTCTATTGGATTTATATGGAGAAAGACAACAAAGACGGCATATGGCAGCATCATTGACTTGGAATGTTGATTAAAGATCTTATCTGCTATAGGTTGAAAAAATAACTATTGCTTCAAGACAAAAAATATTATGTATAACTATATGTTTCTATAAAATAAACTATAGATATTATTAATAATAGCAACCTGAGATTTGCAGGCCAATAAAATGTATATTTGATATGTCAATTTTAAAATTTCTGTTGTGTTCCTCATGGGTTTCCACACTAATTTTTATGGTAAGTGAGCTGTAACCCGGGCTTGCAGTGTGACACTGTAGCAGCCACGTGATATATTGTTACCAGTTTTAATTTGAAGTTTCTCTTAGTAATAAATGCTGATGGGGCATTAAAATGTCCTTATTTCCCTTGAGAGGAATTTGTGGGAGACAGTCTTCAAATGCTCACTAATTCTGTGCTACAGTTTATAAATGGCAAGTGAATCATGAAAGGTCATCTTACTTTCAGACTAATTGCATTGGTTTTTTTTTTTTTAATTTTAATCTCTTCTTCTACTTTAAAGGAAGTTACCTTTAAAATGAATGTAGAGATTTTCATTAGATCTACATAACATTTTGTTTCTCTGACCTTTACCCATAAGGGAAGTCTATGAATTACTTAATGATGGAGAAAGATTTGGGAATTGGAGGTAACAAGCATCTAATTATTTTGCTCTCTTGACTGCATAATTAAGTTGTAGCAAATCAGCCCTTGCTTTTTTCCTCTTCATGGAATGAATTTTTAACATATATTCATAAGAAGAAAAACCTGGAATTTTATGTTTTCTCCTGTTCAATATTGTTCATTAAAAATGCATAATTGGATTACAGTTTGGGCATCTGTATTCAGAACCTGGGGAACATGAGGCTTGAGTGATGTAAAAGATGATCTTCTACAAATACTTAGGAATCTCAGAAGCCTAGAAATGGACACATTTTTCTGTGTATTGCTAAATTGGGGGTTCAGTTGTAAAAATGAATCTGAACAACTCATTTGGTCACTTTCATCAAGCATCACTTTTTAAAATTTTAAAAATTATAGTTTAATCGGGAATCTTAAGAGATTACCTTATTTTTGGCATTAGTTTCCTTCTGTACTCAAAGGATAGCAAAGGTCATTTGTAGCTGTAAGTATGGATAAGGAATAATTATGTTCTGCACATGTGTATCAGCCATTGTGAGAGTAGAAGAATTGCATGTATGCAATTGTTATGGGAAACTGCATAATATTCTGATTTTTTTCTTTTAACAATTCTTGTGTGTATGTTCATTAATTGGCATCTTCAAAATTAATAGGGTTACCTGCCTGTCTGTTTTTTAATTTGTACAGTCATATTAAGACAAGGTTGGATGACAAGCTTGACAGTCTTTGTGTCTAAAATGTTCTGAATCTTGCTAAAGATTTGCACTGGCGATTTCCTTCAATGTGTACATCTACCATAAGACTAGAGTACCCCCGGGGCTCTTGTAAACTATAAAAATCATGATGTTTCCCCTATTGTATCTAATAACAAGCTACCAAATGATATGGGATATCCACAGTTAATGAACTTGAAATAAATACAGTTACACTGTAGGGTAAGAACCAAAGGGATGAGCAAAGAAATCCAAATTTCCCCATCAAAAGACGGGGGAAATTGCAGAGAGATGAGTTCTATAATAGTAGGTATTTAATCCTTAAAAAGAAAATATTTCAAATGATTTTATGCATTGTATAATACTAATAATACTTCTTACATTTGTTATTGTTAATAGTGTACATTTGCTAGCAAGCACTGTTACATTATGTTTACTTCATTAGGGAGGGTATAGCCAATGTGCATGATGCAATTACTTTGCCTAAACATATCCCTACTATTCTTCTATTTTTTTTCACAAAGTATTTTAATATACTTTTCTGGAAGTATAATACCCATGACATTTTCTTCAGCTAATTTATGGGCACCCTTAGTAGCTAATTTTCCCTGTGTCTATTCCGATTCCCTACAATGTAGAGTACTGGATAACTCTGGATGGCAAGACAAATTAAGTGCCTTATTTGCTGAAAGCATTTTCCTGTCAAAGTAATGTCTTTTCCTTCCCATGAGGAAGATCTTTGGATTTCCCATGAACTTGATGTGTCTTTTTTTTTTTTTTAAGTTATGTTTCATTTTTGTTTGTTTGTGTTTATGCTTCTCTTGTTTCTATTGCAGTTTGGCCTTGGTATTACCAACCTACAGTTTTTACTATATAAAAGCCAAAATAGAAGAGACAATAACTCAGGCCAGATGTAAGTACTGTGAAAGTGACTTCAGGGTCTATTTGTTATCTCCTAGTACCAGAGGTTTAAATACGTCTAGACTTTTGACTACCCAAGGCTTATACCTTTTAGTAGGTGTTATTACCAAATCAACAGCAATGATTCTAACCCATTCCAAACATGCAAGGAACAAGAAATATTCTACATGGATAGAATATGAGCAGGTACTCCAGTCTCACTGGCAGTCCCCACCACTCCCCCCTGCCTCGCTTTGTGCTCATAGAATCATTGCAGTGCTGTGTCCTCTGTTGCTGTTGTTTTAAGGGTCTGCTAACTGGCGCAAAATGTTTCACATAGTCTCTACTCATGGCACTCTGCTAGTAAAGTTTCTTCTTTTTTTTTTTCTTTATTTTCCTGTTTTTGCATTCAGCAAAAATGATACGCTCCACATCTGGGACATGGTTTGAATAAATTGCACTGGTCTTTGGCTTTGCTTTAGCGATTAACTCCCTTCTAATTATCCAAATTAATGTCTTCAGTAACCTAAATGGATTAGCTTTTTTTAAAACATCATTTGGAATGTGGAGTAATTATTAACAGTAGTGCATATTTCAAGTCATTATTAATCTTTATTTTATTTTGGGTGACTAGATTTAGCAAGGTAAAATGACCATCATATCCTTTACATATCACTCAATTATTCCTGACCACCAAAATTTTTCCTATGATATAAAGTAAAATATATATATGTATATATATATGTATATACTTTTTATATCTGACCTTACATGAACTACAATTTCTTTTGTTTCTATGTCAGTTCTTTTTTTGCTCTCTGCAGTCCTAGTTCTCATTGTAAATTGTGGTAATTTAGACATTTATATTTCTAGTTTCACTTGATAGATATGATGGTCTTTTAACAACCACTGACTTTGCATGAGCTAGTTCTTCACTTGATAAATGAGGGGATGACTAGTGGGTCTTTGATGATTGGTAAATGCTTCTGTGTATAGGCTAGCATCATTGGGGTTGCACTTGAATTAGCCACTTTGCAAAATAGACCCTTGAAATAACCACAGTACAGAGGGGGTGCTCTAGTAGTAATTGACAGGACATACTTTCCGATCTTCAAAACTAGTGTCTTTTTTTCCAGAACTACAGCTGTACATAAATAAACCTTTGATCTATGCACAATATTTTTATTCAAGAAAGTCATTGAATAAAATATTGTTTGTGACCCCCTTTGCTTTACCCTCTTTCTTTTGTTTCCCTGCTTTCTCTTTCTGATGGATTTTCACAGCCAAAAAGGGCAGAATGAAGGGCAAGTATTTTCTTGTTGCTCAATTTATTTTTCTTTAGTACACTTGACATTTCCACTGATATTTCCATTCCTATTGGATATTATCCTCTGTGCTTCTCACTTGCTAGATTTTCCTCCATGATCACTCAGACCTTACTAGCAGAAAAGGGGGAAAGAACACGCTTGTGTTTTCATATGTAACCTGTTTTACTTTCTGGTTTTTTCCTAAACTTAGATACTTATGTGTTTATCCTCCCACTTACTAATTCATACTAATATGAAGAATGGCGTTAATTCACTAGGGCATCAATGGGTTTATTGAAATGATTTTATTATAATATTGGTAAAATATTTATGTTGATATTTTAAATTAATACCTCTGGTGTAACACTGACCTAAGTCATTTTTTAAAGGATATCTTGGTTACGGTAGGGTTAGTTAGTAAATGGGAAAATTATAGACCTAGCATTGTCTTTGATATAACCGTTGTAATCCATGTTATGAAATTAAAATTGATTTTATTACTGTGAAGTATTGGGGAATCTTTTTATGTGTTTCAATTTAGGATGAAAGTCTATGTTTTTCCTTATTAGGTTATCTTTCTAATGCCTTATTGACATCACATCTCAGGATGCATATTCCGATTGTTATCTAACCCTATAATATTATGTTTTCAGATTCAGAAACTCTGAAACCAGATAATTTTGAAGAATCTGGCTATACATTCATAGCACCAAGGTAAGTTTTGTTTTCTTTTGTTTTCTTTTTTAAGGCTCATTGTGGATGTACAGGCCTTCAAGAATAGGTCAGAGTTGGGGGTCAAGACTGCTCTGGGTTATGCCATGTCAAATTATGGAACCAAAGGAAACAATAAGGTTAAAACTGAAGGAGAATTCTGTTCATTCATTCATTCACCCATTCAGGTACTTAGCAGCTGCATTATGCTAAACAGTATGCCGACTTGGGGATCCAGTGGTGACTAGGACAGATGGAGGTTCTGTTTTTGTTGGAGCCAACAGTGTATTCAACAAAAATGAAGAGTTGAGTATTTGCATTTGTGACTGTGTATGCACATACAGCTCTGCATACATATATACATACAGATAAATATGTACAGATATATACATGTATGTGTGTGTATACACACAAGAATGTGTATATCTCAGAGTATGACTAACCTCATTATTGATTTAACACAAATTTTGGGAAAATATATTTGAATATAGTGAGATTTTCTGACATAATTTTTAAGATGAGCATTCTTTTTCCTCCTACACAATTTTACTTCTTTTTCATACAATCCCCCTTTCCCTATCTCTATACACCCTCATCTCTACCTCTATTTTCATATAATTATTTGGGACTCCATTCATGAATCCAAGATTATCCTTTATTTCTCTTTCCTTCCTTAGTTTTTGATTCCCAGTGTCTAGCAGACACATGTAATAGAACACATCAACATAATTTCTATTTACCCTAGGCTAAATTATTGAATAAAATACATTCAGAAGCTTGTAGTATTCACTTCTCTCATTTTTCCCTTCTTAAAGAAATTCCTTTCAGAAGGTTCCTAAAAATTGGTCTCAGTTATTCTTTCTCATTTTATTTCTACACAAGCATATCTGAATTTTCTCTTCTGGAAAATAAGGAATATATACATATATATATGCACACACATATATATCTTTTTCAGAAATCTGTGCTAACAAAGCGTATTCCTGCTTTGTGACTGACTGCCCTGGAGCAGCTTTCTTGCTTGGATTTCCTTCAGCGTGAACACTGCTAATCCCATCTCTTGTGACACTTGCCGCCTCTTGCTTGTTGACACACTTTTCCGTTTTCTCCCTCCCTCCCCAGCTGCATGCTCAGTTCTTCTCGTGCACCTCACTCACTTGAGCTGCTGGCCTTGTCCCTCTTATCTTCGTATTGTGCATCGACAGATATACCACAGACTCTCAAGTATTCTATGCTTTGGTTTGAGCTGACAGCTCCCAAGTCTCCAGGATGGAGACAATAGACATATTGTCTATTGTCTAAACACAATTAGACAATATTATGTCTAAACACAATAGTCATAATATGTGGTTCATTGACCTTACGTTAGAAGATCAAACAGTATACCTATTTCTAGACTTCATGTATACCCTACCTGTTTCAATATGAGACATTCATGTTTGTAGAACCTGATAGGTGCTTCAAATTCATTATTTCCTGAATATTTGTCTTCTTTGGGGGAGCTCTTCTTTCCATGTTGCCTCAGTAACAAAAATACTGTCCTCCCTAAATGCCAGTCTTAAAAGCTGATAGATATAAAGAAAGGGAGCAAAGATGTCTAACTTCTGGTCAATCAGTAAGTCTTGCCAAGCAGGATTTATCTTATGAGTGTCCAGTATGTCTGTCAGACTATGCTGCTTTTGTTCAGGCCAGTGTCTTCTCTCACCTCAGCTAGTAAGGCTGCCTCCTAATTGATCTCCCTGCCTCCAGTATCTCTCCCTTACTTCCCATTTCTGTCTCCTTTTTGAGGCTAGAGGGAGTTTCTAAAGTTTCAATAAAGTTTTGGTTCTCATCTGCTAAGTACTAGCCAGTGGCTTAGCACTGTCCTCATGATGATCTGCTCTGCACAGGATGGCTTTCGAATGTTCGTTCTGTCCCTAGATACCAGTCTGCCAGTGTGGTACGCTATGCTCTCACTCAGCGGCTGACAAACCGGCCTACAGACTGGCTGCCTGTTTTTACACATGAAATTTTACTGGAACATAGCCACGGCCATTTGTTGAGGTACTGCCTCTGGTTGTGACCTGGACCTTTTCAGCCCATAGAACTTGAATCATTCACTTTCCTACCCTTTAAGAAGCAGTCTACCAACCTCTGCTTTAAAGTCCAGCCACACTAAACTTTTCATAGTTCCTAAATGCGTTTTATCCTCCTTACGTTAATCTTCTATTCTGGATTGAACACACCCACCACCAGTCCTTTCCAGACTCCAACTTCACAGCTCCTCCACCTGGGAATTTCTTTCCTGTCCTCTCTGGGTTAGACATCCTTGCTGACTGCCTCACAGAGTCCTATATTTCCTCTACTAGAGCACTGGCCACATTTCGTTTTACTTACTTTCCCCAGCCGAGACATGATGGCATCTCTTTGGCTTACCATTCAATATTTAATATCACATCTGCTGCCTGGCACACAGTAGTGGCTTTGTAAAGATTTGGTGACTGGAGAATCTATAAATATATGAAAAGTACTTTTAAAATCATGTTACTAATGCATGCAATCTTATAAGCAGTTTTTTGCTACAAGTAACTTTGAACAACGGCTAAAACTAGTTGGAGATGGAAAGCAGAATATCACTACATAGCGCAGAGATGAAGCGGCATTGGGATGCTGAGTGTGCTCTGTCGATGAGACTCTCCCTCCATCTCAGATCTGTGACCTTCTCTGCGGAGCTCCTCGACTCAATCCTCCTAATTTTTAAATAGACCATGCAGATTGGCTTTTTCAACTTCACCTTTAAACAAGGCAGAAAGCATGGTAAATGTCCACGTTCTCCCAGAGAGGGTGAATATATCTCCCAATCCCAATTTGTAGGCAGTGGATTTTGTTTGGTCCAGCAAAGATTAGTATATGGACCATTACTGCAGCCTTAGGTATGTTCAGGATCATGGCTGGAAGAGTAGAATTTGCCTGTATATTTAGGGAAAGAGTAAATACCACAGAAAGAAAGACACATTGTAGCTTGTAGGATAAATCAATGAGTGTCCCCCTCAGTTAACATATTAAGCCTTTTACATACTATGATTACATTTACCCCTCAGAAGAATGTAATAAATTAGTACTATTATCCTATTTCACAGATTAAGAAACAGTTTTAGAGGTGGTAAATAATACGGGATTTGAATCCATTTTCTTGCTACCCTAAGGTATAAATATCTACACTGAATATGTAAATACTTAGGGAATTTCAAAAAGAACATCCAGTACAGCTGAGCAAATATTTTTGTAGGGAACATTTCCCGGGAAAGTGGGCATTGAATGTATATTCAAAGATTTGTGGAAAATAAACTGATAAAAATAAAGGGAAAAAAAAATGGTGAGGAAAGACAGACATTTTTGTTACCCAGGATATCAGGCATATGTTTTTGTCACTGTTATTAATGGGGAACAGTGAAGCAAATTAGAACAACACTATCAGAGTCTGTTTCCCAGATATTCATTTTCATGACTGTTACTCACATTTCCTGCATCTTAGTTTCTTTACTAGCAAAATAGTGCTAACAATTATACCTGTCTATATATAGAGTTTTTATAAGCTTTAAATGAGATAATACCACATGTAATATATACTTGTAAGTATATTACTTAAGTAATATATACTTAATATAGTTCTTGGTAAGAGATGAGCTCTAAATAAATATTAGTTATTATTTATGGTTCTAGTAGAGGTAGGAGGAGGAGGGAGTGCTATTTAATAAAGAATGTTAAAAAGCAGGTATTTTAAAGTAAAGGCAAAAGCTTGCAAATTTTAGAGGTAGACAATTTCTGTTAATTCCTAAATAATTATTCTATTTGATCCTGATTAGTACTCAGTTTTAACATTTCCTTCCATCTTAAGACTACTGGAAAGGAAAGCATTGAGAATACAGATGCATGTAGCATTATTCCTCCCTTTATGAGAATTAACCATCAGAGGGATGAAACATGAATTAATTTTTCTGTCTTTCTGGGATAATCAGAAATAAGAAAGCACTTCAAAGATATGTTGGAATGAGAAAGAAATAAAAGTATGTGATCCCCAGCAGTTAAAGACTAATTTGTGATGTATGACCTATGTAAGTGAAATAGAATGAGAACAAGCAGTATTTTAGAAATAATTTGGCAAATTTCTAATACCAAAGATCTTTTAGTTTCAAAGCAATTTAAGTTACAAATTTCATTTGGTCAGAAACACCAAGTGAGCAAATGAGATTATATAGCTTTCAGATCCTGAAGGTATTTTTAGGAAATGGAAATGGGTCAAAACCGATCCAGAGGTTTCTCCATCTTGCTACTTAACCTTTTTTACAAGGAAAAAAAAAGAAAATCCTCAGAAAAATAATGATCCAAAGAGAGTAAACCCAGTCTCTTACAGAAAAACAGAGCATTATAGAACATTTACCAGCAAGTTTTCCAGCGCATCCTAAGGGGAAGTCAGCAATTGTGGTAACCACAGTATGTTTCCTATCACAGACTTGCCTGGGGTGGTTCCTCTGGAACAAGAAGTGGTGATTATCTTCAATTTTCAAGCTCCCAGCCATGTGCTAAACAATCATTAGCCTAACAGACAACTGATGTTGATGCTGTCTATTTAGCCACACATTCACACCTCAGATATTTAAGTCAGGCTATTGCTGCTTATTGCCTACTGCATGGTGGGTGACTTTCTGTTGTCCAGGATCATTCTTATTACTGGACAACTCATTCTTCTGACCCAATCAACACTTTGTTTTCTCACATTTCTGTTGTTTAATTTTTTTTTTTTTTACTTCTGCTCCTATCCTAAGTCAGCTTCTCTCCTTAATAACAGCTCCAACACTTTCACTGCTTTGCCTTTAGAATACATCAACAAGTCAATATCTTGAAACTAGTTCAAAATTGGGTATAACCCAGCCAGTGAGGATAAAAACAAAAGCAAAACATTATGACATTGTCTAAATTAATTGCTCAGAACAGCCTTCTGTTGATAGAGGTCGAACCTGCTTTTGGTTTGAAGCTTTGTGGGTATAAAAGCTCATGAAGTAAAAGTTTAAAGCACATTGTATGCTGTGTTAAAACACTAATTTGGGATCCGAAGACTTGCTTCACTTCCGGTCTTGACCATTTGCCAGTTAGGCACCTTTGGGTAAATCTTTACATCTTTGAATCTCAGTTTCCTCACCATTGAAGTATTAATCTCCTGGTAAAGTTATTTTTAGAATTAAATGAGCAAAGATAATGTTAGAAATGCCTTTTAAATAATAACATGGAACTTTAAATGATTTTATTGATAATTAGTCTTTCTACAGTATTTAATCCTTCTACAATCTTGCCATTAGCTTCTATTTCTGTGTGACACTACTTCAATATATTGGCCTTTTGACTTGAAGGCTAGTGTTATTTTCCAAAAAGCATAACATTGTGGGAAGAAGTCGAAAACTGAGTATTAAGAAAACTTTTTAAACCTTGCCTCCAAACTAAAATTTTCGGTGAGCCAAGAAGTTATGACATTCTATTGCTCTCTGCTCCCTGAGGCTTTGTGTTTTAGATCATGGGCTTGCATCTGAAAATTTTTACTTTTTAATTGCGTTTTTGCCTTGAATATTTGATTGTTTGGTCTGTTAGTTGTATTAACCTAGTTATTATGATTGCAGTCTTCTTATATTTATGGGACCTTACATTTATTCTGAATTTTCAAAGCACTTGGGACAACAGTTTTCAAAGTATGAAAACTTTGAAAAGTTTGAAAAGTATGAAAAGCCCTGTGGTTTCCAGATACTCTTTCCAAGAATTCACAAGGACAAAGCGGTTTTCCTAACAGTGGTAAATGGCATTTGTCTTTTTCATCATATTGACACTTGCAGTGCTGTGACAGTACAAAAGCAGTGGTGAGCTGTTACCACATTGGGAATCAAGGCAGTTGTACCAAAGCGTACTGGTAGTCACTTAGTCTTCAATGCAAAACACTCACATTGGGGAAAAAGCCAGTGTCACTCTAAAATATCCTTGAGCATGTATCTTTTAATACTCTGAATAAAGAAAATGGAAATTTACTATATACTAGAGTAACTTGGCTGTCTCCAAACAAAAAAAGAAAGAAAGAAAAGCACTTATGTGATTGTTTGAATTGAGAGCTAAAATAGGAGCATCTTGATTTTTTTTTCATAAAATGTTTTATTAGAGAGAAGGAATGACAGATGAAGTATGGTTATTCAGACTTGGGATGGCAGGCATTTTCTCAAAAATCCATTAAGTGAGCCTTTTACTTGGAAGAATACAACTGAGAGTAATTGTTCCCAATGACAAAATCTGAACTTTAAAACAGAAGTTAGAATTTTAGGAAAGATATATTTATTACTATAAGCAGGACTGCTTTGCAGTAATTATCGACTTATCTAATGAGATCAGTGATATAATTTATGAATGTGAATGTTCAGTATAGTATAATAAAATGTGTCATTACTTGAAAGATCTAAATTATTCACATTTTCCAAATAACCAATTTATGATGTGAGAAAATCATGGGTGGGTGAAAGAGGCACTCAAAATATAAGATGGTGCATTGAATTTTAATATAACAAGGTAGAGAAGTACATTGGTATTGTTTCAGATTCTGTATCACACATTACAAAGCAAGAAATTACAAATAATCAAGTTTTAGTATTATTTTAAAGCATAGTGACAGTTATCTGAGAAGATAAAATAATTCTCTCTCTTCCAACTGATTATATGAGGACTGATGTTTTTCTTGTGCCAAAACAATCTTGCAGTCAATTGAATGCAAAGGCATGTTTGTCTTCTATTAAGTCAGGAGTTACAGAAATTTGGAAATAAGCACATCAATGACACTTGTTTATACTATTTTCTGAAAATTCAGTAATTTCTCATAAAAGTGCTATCATGTGATGGGTTTATTAAGATATTTAATAAATGCTTTTTAATTTCTTGATATTAATTTCTAAATATAAATTACTAACCTACAACATTCAATAATAGCTCAATCAGTAAAGAACCCACAGGAATAACAGAAGCTAATTTTTATTGAGCACCTTTTGGTCCAGAGGTCAAAAGCTTAATATATATTGTCTATAATCTTTAGCACTTAATGAAAAAATATTGTTCTGTTATAGAGATGAGGAGATGGAGATAACAGTTCAACAGCTTACAAAATCATGCACTACAAAAAAAATAAAATTAAAAATAAATTGTTTCCACTACCTATGATTGCTATGAACATTTTTTTTAAGTTTTGATTTTAACACCTAATATCCTAAAATATGTTTTTCAGAGATTACTGCAATGACCTTAAAATATCAGATAATAACACCGAATTTCTTTTAAATTTTAATGAGTTTATTGATAGAAAAACTCCAAACAACCCATCATGTAAGTATGCAATCATTGTTCCACTGTGTTTATATTCAAAGTGGTCAAATCTTGGTTCAGTTCAGTTTGTTGCTGTGCTGGTTTATTTATTTACTTTTTGAATTTTTAATGGTAAAATTAAATAATTTAACTCAATTTGTTACATATATTAAAGAAATTTCATTCTGTTATTAAGTAAACTTTAATTTTCAAAGCCAGGTATTAAATACTTGCAAATGGTTAGCTGTAAATAAGATAGGCTTACCTTTACTCCTCTCAAATTTGAGAAATTTAATTTGGAATGATCTTTTGAAGGTTTTTTCATTGCATTGTTCTTGGTATGTAGAGGGAAACACAACAGAATTTTATCAAGTGATTTATATCCTCCAATTCATACAATGAGTTTTAATATGGATAGTATAAACACAAAACTAAATAAAGATATAACACCTAATCATTTTCTCTCTTCCTGACATTCTATTTTTATCACAGTAAGTTAAAAAGTATGGATCTGTAATTCTCCATTTTATGAAGTAAATCAAGTTGGAATAGATAAATTTTACTAGTTTTTAACCATTTTTGTCTTTTAGATAAATTTCCATCCTTTTACTATGAAACCTCATAGAGATTTATGGATTCTTGGCCCTTAAAACATTTCAAAATCTTAACTAGTCTTTTTTTCCTAAAAATTCCCTCCTTTTGTTTCATTTCCCCCCTCTTTCTCCTTTCTCTCCCTTTCTTCCATCTCTTTTTTCTTTTTAAAATTATTTCTCCATCTATTAGGAAGGTTTAAACAAAGTATGGAATATTACTTCTTACATTTATCTCATAAGAAGAAATAACTACTGAGCACCTGTAACATGAGTTAGCCAGTTGCCTTAAAGAGCCACTCTGGAAACCTATCATAGGTGGATGAAGTTTGCATTGATCATGCCTGAACATAACTGATTTCAAAACTTTCTGCTCAGTGTGAGCTCATTAAGCTGAGCCTTTCCAATGTTGTTATTTATTTCCTATTCAGAACTAATAGGCATTTCCAAGAGAGAACTAAAATAATAAGATTATTGAAATCCCTTTATAGGGTATCTCTCATCCCAGAGAAGTATAAATGTTTATACAAAATCCTTTTAGTAAAATAGCAATTTATGTTCTTCAATCTCTTCCTTTTTCCTGTCTCCCCTATAATTCTGTGGAAAATGTTTGAGATAATTATGTAATAATGTAAAGAATTGAGAACTTACTGGATTTTTTATCATAAAAAAGAGCTAATAGCTAATGAAACAATCTGTATTTTCCTCTGACAGTATTTTTGTAGGTTTTTCTCAATCATACTTTACCTCATTTATGAATAATCTGTTAAACCATCTCTAAAAGTAGGTATTAGTGATTGAAATGTAACTGACCTAAATGTTTTTTTAAGGGGGTACAGTCATGTTTAATTTTGCTTTAAGACACTTAATCCATTAGTAAAATTACAATTCTCAACTTTAATTCACTAACTTACCTAAAGGTATATGGTGTAGAGCAGTTGTTTTTTTCATATTCTCCTTTATTTTTGGATTAAGTTAAAAATGAAAGATAGTGTATATGTATAAAATGGTAAGTTTAATACTAATCTCTATTGTGTGTAATCAGCTGTAGGAGACAAATTTCAAGATCCATTTTTAGGCTTAGAACATAATGAAAATATTAAAGAAATTATGAAATTACTTGCAACATTGATTTATATATATATATATATACATATATATACACTCCTTTGTTTTACCAAAAAGTATTTAATAATTAAAAGGATTCAAGAATTAAAATATTCACTTTCCAAATGGATTATTTTTATAGTCATTATTTCTTTTTTTTAGTAATTATTTCTAAAATAATGTAATAGAAAACTTCCTAGAGTGAATTGAAATGAAGTCTAACATGTGCATTAAGTTGATCCTTTAATCTTTAGTATAAGATATATTGAGTTAAAATAATTAAAAAGAACTAAAATGTTTTCTAGCCTATCCATCCCCCAGCTCTTGTAGTAATACAATATTAAGTAAGACCATATATTTATTATGTGAATAAAATGAAATCTTATCATAGGCGTGAAGTTTCAGAGGGTACTTCTAGGTTATTTCAGAGTTTTATCTATGGCTTTAGATCAGAGGGCCCAAAAAAAGGGAAGACAACATGTTTTGTTAAGAATGTGTATGAACTGACCCTTGGTCCTCATTATCTCTTCCCACTACTACCTTTGTTTGAACTTGGGCTGATATGCTCTTCAGTTAATGTCAGAAATGACATCCTGAAGCGTATACTCTTTCATCAATACCAGTAGATTTCAAAAGCCAGTCTTGGAGTACTGCTGGCCTGTGATGTGTTCTGTTCCTTGGCCAGAAAACAAACTATATTATACAGTTTTATAATTCTATATAAACTTGTCTATGAAATTATGATGCTTTGAAATCCCTATCTTTTTGATAACATTTAGAAGATAACTTGCCTCATTTAGAATTGACTTTTCCACTTCTAATTATGTCCATATCCTGAAAACTAGGAGGAAGAGGAACACACATAAAAATGCAGATAATTAATAAGGGTAGATAATTAATTTCTAAATTGCTTTGGAAATTTAAAAGAATACATTTGTTTCATTATTATCCTAGTTAAACTATGTGCATATAATTAAACTTCTCCTTTTCCTGTGTTAGGCAACACAGACTTGATTAATAGAGTCTTGCTGGATGCAGGCTTTACAAATGAACTTGTCCAAAATTACTGGAGTAAGCAGAAAAACATGTAAGTATCTGTTCTTATTAATAAAAAGATATATATCCTGTATTTCAGTTTAGCAACTCTAGGAAATTTGGGGGAAATTGGCCTCATAAATTTAAAGTTTATTATCTTTAATAACAATTTCTCAAGAAAACCATTTTGCAATTGTTGAATTTTTAGTATTGGGTATGTGTCAGGACTAACATCAGCCATTACTCAGCTTTACACATTTACACACCTCACCGTGAATAACCAAATTAAATTGATGTGCTTTCATGTGTCTCAGTGTTTGAGGTAAAATAGGATCTCTAGTGAATGTTCAGTTAGCTTTCTGATAGCACTGCCCTACACCCAGTCAAGAAATTGAGAAATCTGATGATCGTTCTGTTCCAGTCTCTTCTCCACTCCATTTCTAATCAACCACCAAATGATAAATATTTTTTTCTAAAAAAGTTTTCCTCTCTTCTTCATTCTCAACGTTCTAATGTTTTTCCATTTCTAAGAAATCACAGCAGGTGATTTTTCTGCCTTTAGTGCTTCTGATTTTTCTGCCTTTAGTGCTTCTGATTTCTCTGCCCACAGCCCCTCCCCGTCTATTCTCCATGTAACATAGACTTGCCAGAGTCTCTCTTTTAAAACTGAGTCCTAATTTCAGGATAAAGGTGAAGCAGGCTCTCCAGCATGGATTTCAGGATCAAACATGAGCTGACCATTCTTCAGAAGCTTGTACTTAGATTTTACTTCCTATTGTTTCTCAGTTCATGCCTTGCGCTTTTGTGCACCAAATGCTACCACTCTGCACTAGCTTCCCCTCATATGTACTCATTGCTTTAAATGTGGTGTCTTCTCTATTAAGTCCCATTCTGTCTTCAAAATGCAACTATATCATTGTTTCTTATGAAATGTCTTCCTCAAAGATTTCTCTACTAAGTCCCATTCTGTCTTCAAAATGCAACTATATCATTGTTTCTTATGAAATGTCTTCCTCAAAGATCCTCTCTTTAACCATTTCTTAGATATTTTAACCTATTAAACCATAGTGTGCATCTATTGATATATTTATCTTGGCTTGCTTTGTCTTAGGAACCCATTTTATTTCTCTTTGTACCACCAACATCTAAATATTGTACAAAGACTCAGTTGAATGAAACTTTCCTTCTTCTGTCTTCTGTTTCAGCAAGGGAGTGAAAGCACGATTTGTTGTGACTGATGGTGGGATTACCAGAGTTTATCCGAAAGAGTAAGTTCAAATAACATCTGTAAAAGTTAGTACATTACAGAGGACTACTCCAAGGATCTGTGCATTACTGTATTAGGAAGCTACTCTTCAGAGAAACTGATCACTATTAAATTAGAGTTTATTTAAAGTACTTAATTATTAAAAACTCCGTTCTTGAAAAACATGCTATGGTTCTTCAATTGTATTTTTCCTTGTCACCTATATTACAACATTTAAGTTTTAAAAGAGATTTTTCTCTTTGTAGACATAACTAACCTGGTTAAATGAACATAATGTTATTATGAATATGACTATTGGCAATATTTGCATAGCACTTCATTATTTTCACTCATGTATGGATTTTATCTGTGTTTATCCTCAGAAGAGTCCATAAAGTGGGCTCTGTAGGTTTTTTAATACTAATTGATTTACTAACTGACTTGTCCATAATTACTTGGCTAATAAATGTCAGAGTAAAACTTGAAGTCAGCCTTTTCTGCTCCTTAATTTAACTCTGTGCTGATCTATTGCTTAGTAATGAATGTCATTTACACCATCAATTACCACTAACTTCCTTACCCGTACCAGAGATGCAGACATATCTGTAAAGTTCAGTGATGTCCACAAATGGAAAAGTAAGTTATCAAATAGATTAAAGAATAAAAATGATGAGCTACTTCCTCCTTAGGGCTGGAGAAAATTGGCAAGAAAACCCAGAAACATATGAGGACAGCTTCTATAAAAGAAGCCTAGATAACGATAACTATGTTTTCACTGCTCCCTACTTTAACAGTGAGTACCACTTTACAAGTCATTCGTCTCAATTCCCCTTTTTAAATAAGTGATTGCTACTACCTGCTTTCCCCCCAAACAATATATTTTATGATAGTTGCTCGAAAAGTCATTATTAATTACATACCATATGCATGACACTGGAAAGACTGAAGTATCCTTTTAGTTGAGGAAGTAAAATGCATCTACAGGAAATCAGCCAACCAGTAATGTGAATACAGCATATCTACAGACATGCATGGTACAGTGAAACACATGTAGATAATCCCTAATTTCACAAACTGCAAATACAGTTTACTATGCTTTAATCAGTATTAGTTGCATAATATTTGTACAAATAATTACTGGTCTATATTTTTAAAATATTCTGTTGGGTTCTTTCCCTGAAGCTTTCTATTTTAATCCTCAGCCTTTCTAGAGGGGCTTATTACCATCATTTTATAATATTTATTTATTTTTAATTGATTGATGATTGCTTTACTATTACCATCATTTTTACAAATGGGGAAACTGAAGTTCAGGGAATTTCAGTTTTTTCCAGTTTTTTCAGCAGCCTCCTCAATATTTTAGCAGGTATAAACCAGAGATTTGGTGTGCATCCTTTAACTTGGGAGAGTGATACAGCCAAGCTAAATAAGTTCCATTCCAAAGTCAATTAACGCAGCCAATTCATGGACACTCCAATTAGCCTGGTATAAAAAGGAAGAAAAAGAGGAGACCACCCATTCCTTGATAATATATCTGTGCTAGAATATTTAAGCAAAATACTGTTTTCCTGTATTTATTAAAAGACATGTAATATTATTTGATTTATCTAGAGCGGTTTGTTTTCCTTTTTTTTTCCTTTTAGAAAGTGGACCTGGTGCTTATGAATCAGGCATTATGGTAAGCAAAGCTGTAGAAATTTACATCCAAGGAAAGCTTCTTAAACCTGCAGGTAAGCATATATACTGTCCACATACACAGGACTGAAATTAAATGTGACCTACTGTTTCTAATATCAACTGGCAGTGCTTATCTGGAAGGCTATTAGTACGCTTCAACCAAAATACAGTTAAAGACATGTGAGTTTGAAAAATGAGATACAGTTACCTATGAGATTGGGGATAAAATTAAATTGATACTATAAAGAGTTGACAAATTTTTCAAAGAAGTGTATATGTTTATACACTGTTGACACAAATTTATGGAGTCAATTTTATACTATATATCAAATTCTAAATGTGTGACTGATGTAGCAATCTCACACTAGAAATCTAACCTATAAAGTATTTCAAATATACAAAAGTCAAGAGAATTCCCTGGCAGTCCATTGGTTAGGACTCCATGCTTCCACTGTACGGGGCACGGGTCTGATCCTGGTTGGGAAACTAAGATCTCACATGCCATGTAGCAGAGTAGATATCGCCAAGGATGTGAATGTCTATAATATTTTAAACATAAAAAGTTGTTTCCATCATTGAGAAAGATAAATTATATCTTATCTATATTATATCTGTTAAAAAGTAGGGATCTTTTTTAAAAGCTTAGAATAAAGAATATGAAATTTTTGGTAAATTAAGTCAAGCAAATGCAAAAGTTCTTAAAACTGAGCATCAGTGGGAGTTAGAAGTGGGCTAGAGTATAAAGAAAAAAAGTATTGTGTAAATCAGTGTTGTTAGAATTCTATAAAGGGTTTAGAGAGGCAGATTGAGAAAGCAAATAAATCCCGTTCTGCTCCTGAGAGCAGTTTTAGCCCTCAGTGGTTCAACTACATAGATTCACTTTGTTACTCATGCAGTGACTAACTCATTTGCTCCTTCCTCCATTCACACGGTTGCTTATTTACTCATCCAGTCTTACTCTTTCAGTCTCTCATTCATGTGCCCTTTTCTACCCACTCACCTACCTACTCATCCGCTCATTTATCCACACTTTAGCAGACATTTCTTCAGCAACTACTGCATGCACTGGTTAGGTTAGGGAAGCCCCTTCAAGCTCACCCTTCAAATGACTTCATTTTTATAAATCTATTCCTGACACTATGAATTTTTTAAGCTTATTGTATTAATTGGCAAGGTGTAAAAAAGAAACTATGAATGTAAAGAAGTTTATGTAATAGTTTAAGAGCTATTAATATTACTTCTTAATGAAAACCTCAAGAAATATATCTCTAATTTTAACATTATATTCAATTTAATGCTATTTTATAAATTACCTAAATTATCATATAGCAAAATATATATCTAGGTAATTAGATGTGTAACCTTTTACATGAATTTGAATTAGCATTTCTCAGTGTATCTGCAATTAAATGGATATTCTTTTTCTTTTTTTTAAAGAAACTTATATTTGCCTCCTTAGGAATTTTCAAATGTGAAAGGAAAGATAAGTGACAATTATGGCTACATTTCTTAAAAATTTTGTGTTAATTTTTCTTTACATGGTTTTTCAGTTGTTGGAATTAAAATTGATGTAAATTCCTGGATAGAGAATTTCACCAAAACATCAATCAGGGATCCGGTAAGATATTTTTTTTTTAATTCCTATGCTACATTTACTAGTCTCAAAAAATCAAATACAGTGGCAAAATCAACTTTTAATGCTACTACATTGAAGCATAATTATGAATTCCTATTTTTTTCAGAGATTTTTTTTTTTGTTTAGTCAACCAGTAATAAAAGTATTATCAATGTAAGAATTTAAAATGCCCATTTAAATATTAATTGATATTCTCTAATTTATAAAGATAAAACTAATGATTAGACTATCATTTAATCTTTTATACTAAATTATTTATAATATGGTAATAATGAAAATGATATAATTAAAATTGTTATTAAGAAAATGTGAGGTGATAATTGTACTTTCTGTCTTTCAGTGTGCTGGTCCAGTTTGTGACTGTAAAAGAAACAGTGATGTAAGAAAACTCTTTAAAATGGAATTTTTATTTATTTATTTTTTTCCCCTGGTTTTTCTCTCTTTCTTTTTTTTTTTTTTAAATTAGTTGGAGGCTAATTACTTCACAATATTGTAGTGGTTTTTGTCATACATTGACAAGAATCAGCATGGTTTTCCATGCATTCCCCATCCCAATCACCCCCCCCCCCACCCTCTACCCGATCCCTCTGGGTCTTCCCAGTGCACCAGGCCCGAGCACTTGTCTCATGCATCCAACCTGGGCTGGTGATCTGTTTCACCCTAGATAATATACATGTTTTGATGCTGTTCTCTTGAAACATCCCACCCTCGCCTTCTCCCACAGAGTCCAAAAGTCTGTTCTATACATTTGTGTCTCTTTTTCTGTTTTGCATATAGGGTTATCATTACCATCTTTCTAAATTCCATATATATGTGTTAGTATACTGTAATGGTCTTTATCTGGCTTACTTCACTCTGTATAATGGGCTCCAGTTTCATCCATCTCATTAGAACTGATTCAAATGAATTCTTTTTAACAGCTGAGTAATATTCCATGGTGTATATGTACCACAGCTTCCTTATCCATTCGTCTGCTGATGGGCATCTAGGTTGCTTCCTAAAATGGAATTTTTAAATACAACTTTTTGTGTTACTCTTTCTAAGGCTAATGGTAAAAAAAAAATGCAGGAAGTTTTCATCAGATACCAAAATAATATTGTATGGAATTGTGAAGTTATTCACTGATAAGAATTTGAATTATATGCTTCTAATTCCTAAACTTAAACTTTAGAAGCATTTAAAAATATTCATTCAAAAGCCATATCAATATGAACTATATTCTCTTTGGACCCAATTGTGTTAGATTCTTTTGCACATATTTATTTCGGCTTTGTTTCTGACCATGGTTTCTAACTGAAGCATACTTATTATCAATGCAGTCTTTCCTCATCTTTTGCATTTTATCTGAATATTTTTGTGCTGTATTTATAGTGGTGAGAAAGTTTCTTTTAACTGAACCTTAGATTATAAAGAAGTTTTACTTGCCTGGATTGGATTCTATTACTTGCATTTTTGTCTGAGAAATTGAAAAAGCTAATATGAACCTTTTGTTTCCAGTTTAAAATGTTGTAAGAATGAAACTAGATAAGTTATGCCTATACTCAATAAGAAGGATGAATTCCCCTATTTTCTTTGAGTCCTCACATGTATGTCTGTATGTTTCCAAGGGAAGCAGGAGTTTCCTATCATTTTATCACTCCTAAATCTTGAGAAGCCATAAGCCAGTAATTTTAATTATTATTGTAGCATTCATTTTACATAGACTATGTATCAGCAGTTTTTAGAGCAAAGGTTTTAGCAAGCTTCTTCCATATTAGGAAAACAGAATGCATTATGTCCTGAACTCTGAAAACAATGCTTTTAATTGTAATTTCATGCAGTAAAACTATTTATTGATTAATGTATTTAAGCATAATTTAAACTGGGAACATTTTACGATATATGATTATTTTTCCTTGAACTCTTTTTTTCCTCTTGATTCTTGCTTTTACATCCCAATGTACCCAAATATTTTTAATATAAAACAATTATAAATAACCTCATGGTGCTGCTTTTTCTTTTTATGTCTGTGATGGATAGTGCCCCGAATGGATTTTTTAAAAGGTCTTTCTTGTCAAAATCTTAAGTATGTGTTTAAATAATAAAATAATTATACATTATTAAATATTTGATTTATCTAGTTTCCTAGTTTATTAAGATGACCACAGAGTGACAAAAGGATTTTTTCTGGTTTGTTCTTATGTATTGTTCAGACTGAGTTGACAATTTTAATGGCTGGATGGTGGTGGAATTTCAAGCCCTGATGGTTTGATAGCAAACTATGCATACCCTTATTTCATCAGAATCTCCTGAGCACATACCTTCAAGATAAGATATAGTTATCTAAGCTTTTCTCCTATTTTTATTGTTATAATCATCTACATAAAATGGAGTCATACTGTAACCTAACCTTCCTTAAAAATGTATTAACTGCTATTTTTATTTTGATAGGTAATGGATTGTGTTATTCTAGATGATGGTGGGTTCCTTTTGATGGCAAATCATGATGATTATACTAACCAGGTATGTACCTAAAGTGGGAAGGGGTAGAGTTTCCAAAGTGTGTTTCCCTGATCAACATTATGAAACTCCTCCATACCACTATAAAACTTGATAACTAAAGTGTTTAATGTAATATAAACCAGAAAAAAATACATCCTAAAAATAGTTTTCCTTTTACTTGTTAGTCAGTTTTACTTTCTGGTACTGTTTCTGCTAAAACTTATGTGCTAAATATTTTAATATGATATGAACTTTTTTATTCTTTATCTCTCAGGAATTTAGAAAATTTTCACGTATTAGTCTGTTGATAATATGAGTCTTAATACAAACTCGTCTGAAACAGATGAAGATTCTAACACCAAATTTGCCAATTGTCAATGTAGGCTCTTTGGTTCATTTCAAACAAAGTAGAAATAATTGCCAAATAATTCCACTTCTGAATTGATATATCTGGCTTCTCTTTAAAAAATAAACAAAAAAAAATCTCTCAGTCCTGGACTGTTTTCCTAAATGATATTATTTATGGGTTGGAATTGATGAGTTTGAGGTTGTCCCTATGGATGGGACTTAATCCAGTTCATCACAGTCCCCACAAGTTTCTAATTTCACCATTTATCTCATTTGATTGTGGCTTAGTGCATAGTAAACTGTCCATTTCTTACACAGATAGCATTGGCAGCCATTCAGTAATGAGAACACCTAATCTCATGGGAGTTCTTTCAAAGTGTCATATACTCATTTATTACTTGCTTTTTTTTTTAAGCTCCTCAGTGGTTTTAGTTCAGTTTCTTTATATCATTTCTTTTCTTTGTACTATTTCAAGCATTAATAAAGTTTCAAATGTAAGACAAATATGAATTATTTTTTTCTGTACCAGATTGGAAGATTTTTTGGAGAGATTGATCCAAGTTTGATGAGACACCTGGTTAATATATCAGTTTATGCTTATAACAAGTCCTATGATTATCAGTCGGTGTGTGAGCCAGGAGCGGCACCAAAGCAAGGAGCAGGGCATCGCTCAGCATACGTGGTCAGTAATATCCACTCGCCTTCCCATTGTGTCAGAGGGACACTCGGTGTTCATTAGCATAACACTTTCTTACCCTGTTTTATAGCCATCAATAGCCGACGTATTACACATCGGCTGGTGGGCCACTGCTGCTGCCTGGTAAGTCCAAACTTTAGTTTTATTGGTAATGAGAAAAAAGGGTTGTGAAAGAGGAAAGAATTTCATGAAAATACAGACATCTAAATAATTATTATGGGAACTACATTATTTCCTACAGCACATATTGTTAACAGTCATAAATATTTTTTTCTTAAATGATCAGTGTAAAACCATTACAATTATTCAGCTTTTTCTATGAAAATAGCTTTATGCAAACTTCAGCCTCTTCAGGGGATTCTTTTATCTATGAATCTGTTGAAATTCTTTTCATTGGTATTTTGTGTTTATATTGTACTCAGTCCTTAAATTTTAGGCCTCACATTGATCTGCAAAAAGTGACTAGTTATTGTCTTAAATACCCACGTTAACTGTCTTCATCCATCAGATTCATGACATAATGACTTCTTTTTCTACTTCCTGACTTTTCATACAAAGGCTGGCCTCATTTTAGAGGCATTGTATTCCTGAAATGGATCTAAATCTTTCCCTTCCTCCCACTTTCCCCTCTACCTATATCCTGCCACCAATAAACTGCTTATTGAGGCACTGTGGAAAGTCTGGAAGATCAAATTTGTCACTGTTTGGGTCTGGTCAGTCAAGTAACTAATCCCCCTGTTATGTCTGGGTCCATTCCCTCCTTCCTCCCTGTTTCTCTTTTGTGTCATTACCCTACTGTATTGTGTAAGTTTTATTCAGTGTAGGTTCATATATAATGTTCACTTGATTTTGAGACTTTCCCAGCAAAAATTAAATGATTATGCCATTTTATTAAAGTAGCAAAGATTTTAGATTGAAAATCTGATTTTTTCTTAAAAATTATGAAAAATGGAAAAATGATACTTTCTGTTGTAAAAATGCTATTTTAGATAGGCTTTACAAAGGTTTTCTACATCTCATAGTCATCCTGAAATACTTGATTGTTTTTATGCTATTTTCTGGCCAGAAAATGCCCCCTCCTCAACTTCCCCCTTCCCTTCTCCCTGCTTTTGTTTTAACTAAACTCAGTTCCAGATGAGTTTTTACCAGTATTTGGCTCAATTGTCATTTATTGTAAAACTGAAATGTGCCATATGTCCTGTATTTAATAGGTATATTTTATTTCATGAATGCCACATTATGAATTTTATTTTATGCCACCTTAATAGTTAATAAACCCGTAGTACACAGTCATTTTTGTTTGTTTTGTGGTGTTTTTTCCCTACCATACAGCTTCAATATCTAAAATAAGGATAAAATCTTGAATGTCAAAACTATGCACTAATATGATGACATTCTCCCTAGCTATCACTTCTCCTCACTCAGATGAGGTCTTCACACATTATGTGTCCCTCACTGGGTCCTGAAGACAACTGACTTCATGACTTCTTTTACAAAAAGAAATTTACAATGTCTTATATAATTTAAAAAACACTTCTATAAAAATGCCCGCAAATTCTCAGTTTTTCCAGAAAGATGAAAAAAGAAATATGTTTATGTGTACATGCAAAAATACTCTGGTTTTTATGATATAATTTATAAACTAAAACACCTAGCTTTTTATCAATAGTTTTTTGTATTTAAAATTTAGGTCTTTTCTACAGCAGTTTCTCTTGAGTTTGACCTTTCCACGACTTCTTGAGGCAGGTATGTAATAGCTCAGATGCTATCATAATAACTTAAAATTTTCTTTTTGGGTGTGCTGAGTTCAAAACTCAGAGTGTGTGTGTGTGTGTGTGTATTTGAGAGAGAGAGAGATCGAGAGATCGTCCATTTGACATTTTGTAGGTTAAATTCTTTTTGTCACAACTTTCCTAATGCCTTAGAAACATTCCTAGGTCACACTGGTTTCTGTTTTGTAGCTGTTATGTATTCAAATTCATTTATTCTAATGATAGTTATTGGGTACCTTTTGGAGCTGCCACTATACCTCATGGAGTAACTAGCCAATTACGGTGCCTGCCCTTATACTGAGTGATTTGTTTTGCTCTTTGAGAAGTGGAGGCTCTGGGAGACCGCTCATAATAATGGTCTTTGTTTTCCCCACAGTTGAGATGGAAGATGATGACTTTACGGCCTCTCTGTCAAAGCAGAGTTGCATTACTGAACAAACCCAGTATTTTTTCGATAACGATAGTAAATCATTTAGTGGTGTATTAGATTGTGGAAACTGTTCCAGGTAATTTGTTTCTTCAATTCTGGACTAGTCTTGCTTCCGTAAGAAATTGTACTCACTTTTATAATCATTACAGAAAATAACAGATTGTCATTTGAGTATGAGAGATGTGAGTAACCACTTTATGTTGAAAACACCACAGATCTTCAGTCTCTCTGAAGGTTTTTAACATTAATTCTGACTTCGATAAGTTGTAATTCCTTCAACTTATTTTAGTAATTATGGAATCAAGAAAATTATACCCACCTTTAGGCAGAACATAAAGGAAATTGTATTTTGTCTAAAAGAATCCATATTAAAATTTTTCCAATGTAGAGATAGTTTCAGAAATTATATTAATTTTGATAAGATTAGAATTATACTTACTAAACAGATTAACAGACATATCCTTAGGTAGGGAATTGTTTTAGTTGTAGTATTCACTTACCTTTGATTTGAAACTGAAAAACTAAGAACATATTTTCTAAAGTCAAGGTCAGTGCTAGTCATCACTGTCCATAAAATAGTTTGAAAAATTTTTGGAAGAAATGGAAAATTTCATTTTATTTGTATCGAGAGAAAGAACAAATGGCAGGGTGGAGATTTTTGAAGTTTTGAAAGGAAAGGGATAATCTATGTCACAGGATCCCTGAGAACAGGGCAGGAAGGCACAGAATTGGAATACTTTGTTTTTAGTAACTGAGGACAGCTTATTCTAGAAGAAATGTTAACATAGAGAAGAGGAAATACGAGGAGGTGAGGTAATCTGAGCAGGTGACAGGGCAGGAATAGTTGGTTGCTAGGGAATTTGGAAAAGAAGTTTATAACTTTTTTTTTTTAAGTATTTTCAGGAAGGGGTTAACTGCAATGAGCACAAATTTTTAATTGATGTGGTCAGTATCATTTTATGACTGACTTTATTAAACCTCCATGTCCTAGGAGGAGGTGGAGGGTATGCAGAGGAGAGGAAAGGGGTGGAGTCAGGCGTGTAATCAGAGAAAAGCAGACCATCTTGCTTAAAAATTAGCATATCGGGACATCACTTTCAGAAAATAGAACTGTGGCAAGTTAAGTGGTTTTATCAGTTTAGGGTCTTCGGTCTTTCATTAATTGATGTCCAAGAGTAGCAATATATACTTTAAAACTAAGTTAAGCTGTAATGTAAAGAACCAGTATAATAAGTGGAACCATGGTTACTTTCGATTTGCTTTATGCTTGTGTCCCAACTTAAATAGGTTAAGAAAAAAAGAAAACCCCGCTTCCTTGAAAAATCAATTACTCTTTAACAACAGATCTACATTTTTACTGTGAAAGGTAGAAACAGCTTAAGATACGGGGAAAAAACACTACATGGAATTCAAAGCCCTTAATTCTGTCTAGACCTGTGTTGTCCTAATTCAGTAGTAACCAGCCACAGGTGGCAATTTCTGTCATCTAATCATTAGTCACTGCAACTAATTAACATTACAATTTTGCACCTCAGTAACACTAGTCACCATTTCGGGTGCTCAATGTAGCATCCTGTGGCAAGTGTTTGTTTACCATATAGGTTAAAGTGGATGACATTTCTATCTTCACAGAAGGTTTGTTTAATAGCCTGATCTAGACTTCAGCCTGTCATGAGCTTGGGCAAATACTGAGTCATTTTACAGTCCTAGTTTCCTTCACTGTACAATAAGGCAACTCTGGGACATTTTCAGTGATAAATAGCAAACTTCCTTAAACATGTAAAATAAAACATTTCTTACAAGTCTAAACAATAGATTGGTCCTTACTTTGCATTGAGGTTTATCGCTTAAGAAACATCTCCTATTGGAATTTTTTAGTATTCATTTGAGAGATAACATGTCCATGTTAATCTTTCTCTTCAAAAATCATTCTCATTCAGTTTTACTGTTTGTGCATGTGATGCTTTGTTTCAAAAGGTCTTATTTTCTTTCTTTTTAATACGTAATAGTCTTTGAAAACTATTTTTTTCTCAAATGACGTTTTCTCTAATCTTTTATAATACTCATTCTACAGAATCTTCCATGTAGAAAAACTTATGAACACCAACTTAATATTCATAATGGTTGAGAGCAAAGGAACTTGTCCCTGTGACACGCGGTTGCTCATACAAGCAGAGCAGACTTGTATCCTTTCACACCGGGGACGTTTGGAATGACAGTTCCATCTTAAAGCCATGCATTTTTAACCGCATCCCATTGTCCGTGCCCAGAAAGAGAAAAGTACCGCAGAGCGCTGAGATCACCTCCAGAGGCAGCACGGACCCTTCACACACAATCTCACTTGCATGTCAAGACTGATGGTGCTACACGTGCACTCGGGGAAGGCGAGAGGCTTCGCGCCTGCATGGGGAGTCTTTGTGCAGAGAGCCCTGCAGACCCCCAGGCAGCCCTGAAAATGGCTGGAGAGCGTCAGGGAACGCCCGGTGTGTGTTGGCCCAAACCGCCACACAGTGCCAGGTGAGGGCATCCTCTGTCTTCCCTGGCAGGCCGCCCGGGTGTGGGACAGAAGGGAAAAAGGGCCTGCTGTGCCTTGAGAGCTGTCAGCAGCCAGTCATCATTAATGGAGTCTATGTGGTCTCTACCCACAATGGAATATTTATTCAGCCTTTAAAAGAAGGTAAGTCCTGTCGTATGCTACAACTGCGATGACAGCAATTGTAAGAATACTTCTGTGGGTAAAATGCTAAATAACAATGCAGCGACTATTCAAGCATTACAGGCCGAATTTTGGTAGACTGCCTCTGGTTTTTGCTATTTCTGGGAAGATAGTCCTCCCATATGGTATGTTTGGAGCTGCCGTTTATTACTAGAACTAGTTTCTGTTTCTGTCTTGCTAAATAGGAGGCGCCAAGGTCCTCCGTTATGGTCTTATATGAATGACTCTCTCTCACAGGTACATCATTTGCACATTTCAACCACTTACATTCTACAAATATTTACAGAGTACTTCCTTGTGCCGGCAACCTTGCTGTGTACAGTACAGATAAAAAGTTGATCTCTTCACACAGTCCCTAGGCTAACAAAAAAAAATTTGTGGCAGTTTAGTTCCTTAAATCCTATAGTAGTCTATGGTACTAAAATAATGTCATAGGTTTCTCCTGCTTGCTTTGAGAAATAAATATATGGCGTTGTATTTTTTCAGTTCTGTGGGGGGAAGAAAGTAACTTCATATCCCTTAACAAGTTTTTTTAGCTGATGGTCCAGATCCTTGTGACATGGTGAAGCAACCCAGATACCGAAAAGGGCCTGATGTCTGCTTTGATAATAATGCCTTGGTAAGTGTGTCCAGAGAATTTCAGGGGACAAATTACAGTTTTAATTCCAACATAATGTCTCAACCATAGTATTTCTCATTAACATGACATACTTGCTGGTATATAGATTTTTCATTTCAGTATTTTTTCATGGTTAGCATAAGCTCAACTGTTGCTTCTTCTATCTATCTGTCTGTCCTTTCCACAGAAATTGTACTTTCAAACACAATGCCAGTTTACTAATGTTCCAAGATGATAAATCTAATGATTTTAAAGGCTTTCTAATAAATAGTAACTGACAGTAAATATGACTAATAGTATGAGTTGCTTACCTTCATTTATATTCCAATCTTGAAGATATGTTTTATTATAGTATTTTATTAATTTGTTTAGTAAAAATACTGTAAATATATAGTACATATACTGAATGAAGATTCAGTATATTTAAAAACTTGTTAAATTGCTGTTGTCCCCTTATTTGGTAATTCTACTTTTCTACTTGGTTTCTGATTCTATCACCTATGAGCTTTATATTATTTTTCTTAATTACTTTTTATATTGTTTGAAATTAGACAAGGTTAGTAACACAGGATTAAGTTGATAAAATTTTACACACCATATTTAATGTATGTTATCTGAGATGAGTAGTCCTTTTCCTATAGGTTAGCTGTCTTCCTTTCATAAACACTATTCAGACTACTGTATGTATAAGTAGCTTTATACTTTTCAAATTATTTTAACTTTTTAATAAGCTTTATTCTGAATCAAACCCCATATAAAAGGTGCTCACTACTTATAAAAATTAAACTTTAATATTTCTCAAGTCTCCAGTCTTCATGTCTCTTGCATGAAGGTTTGCAAACAAAGCATTATCATCTTAGGAATTGCTTATTCTAAAAATATGTCATATCATTGATTCAGTAATGTGCATTTCTACAAGCTATTTATTTAAAACTGATTTCTTTCTTATTTACTCAAATACACACAACCATATTTGTTTCAGAAAAGAATAAGAATTTCCATAGATACATATCATGCAAGTAGATAATACAGATTAGAAGTGGAGCAGAGAAGTAAAATTAGTGATGGGGAATAAGGGTGAAAACGCAAACTGTTTTGGCCACTAAATCCTTTTACCTCCATAAGGACTGTTGATCAGTTCCTCTTTGAAGGGGAAAACTGATTCAAAGTAGAGCTGTTTGACTTTTTTCTTTTTTACAGCGAGGCTTAAGTAAGACCCAGATACGAGGACTCTTTTGTTCTGTCTACTCGACCTTAAGGAGTTTTGCCACGTCAAATTATTACCCAAAGAATGTTATGTTTGGACCCAAGGCTAGTGTCACTCATTAGGGAAACTTCACTCATCAACTATTTGTCACCAAAGACAGATTAAATTTACTCAGGTGCACTTCCAAGATCATATAAAAACCTGTTACCCCAAATATCTTCACCACTGGAAACTATTTTTTGATCACGACAAAAAGATTTTACAAAGACAGAAATTTCCAATATTAAAGTTCCCATAAATTGTAAAATGGATTGTGTGTGAAAGTACAACTCTTGCTCAGTAGCTTAATGTGCTAATAATGTCTTGTGTTTTTTTAGCACTGGAATATTTTGGTAATGCTTATTTGCAATGGTCACTGTGAATCTGCTCTGAGTGGAGGCTCACGTAAACTGCTGACTGCCAGCAAATTGCATGAAATCTCATCTTGTATGTCTTCTTTTCTGTGTTTTCTTTCCTTTTCCTGTATTGCTACTTTGCCCGTTATTAATAGGATCAACTTATATGCACAACGAGTCGTGCCTGTACCATGATGTCAGCTCCTATCTTCATTTTACTGCAAGTTTTCATGTGGTGTGGATGGTCAGTCACTTTCTCTAATTTTTCTTTGTTTTTGTGTTTGGCTTGAAATTTTAAAAAGTAATCCATATTCCTAAATCCACTACAATAAATATCCTGAAACCAGGTTATTAAAATGCCAGTAGTAATGTTTTGTAAATAACAACGTTCAAAATTACATGTTTCTAATCCTGAATAGAGGATATCAATTTCCTGTATTTAGTTAAAAATTAGTAATGTCTCTTCTGGGAAGATCCCCTGGAGAAGGGAATGGCACCCCACTCCAGTATTCTTGCCTGGAAATGTTTCTTAAGATTTTACTAAAGTTTAAGTCAATGTGGAAAAAAAGTATACACTCTTCATGATGTCTTACTTTTACTTAAGAGAAGTACCCTAAGGACAATTATTAAAGACGGTCATAAGTTTTGTTTCAAAAGTTGCTAACATAAAAGTAATGAAATATTTCAGTTTTAACAAGCATTATTCAGTACCTTCTAAGCTCATTATCCTAATTTTTCCCTTCCTATGTAAATGGATATTGTCTAAACAGCATTTCTTAGATATTGATGTTCTTAGTGAAATATTTTGGTATCACTAAGTGCTTCTAATTTCTAAGTTAATTTTACTTAATATTATTTACATTATCTAGGCTAGGATTATCATTATTTGTTATTCTCTGACAAATTTCTGAATTACATACTCAGTACGACTGAATAGATATTTTAGGGCCTGAGTATATAGTCAGAGTTCCATTACATTTTCTATTCTTTTTTGATGTTTTGAAATCCTGAATATTTAACTAGATAGCATTTGTTATGTTCTTTCTTCATTGCTGTCCAGGTAGTCTTTGGTTAGGAAACCACTAGATGGAGATGTGGCCATTACTGAAAAGTGAGCTCACCAGAAGGAGAGAAAAGTGGAATAGCAGAGGGAGTGTCAAAATGTTCTGGGATAATAAAATAATGCTTTTGAAGATTTAAGTGGCAAAGAAAATCAAAGCAAATCAGTAACGTACTATTGAGGAAGTTCATTATTTTATGCAAACATAATTGGTAAATACATGTTATTGACAACACGAAAAATGAATATGTAGAATAAATGTGTGTGTATACATACACATACATTAAACCTACCTACCTCATGATTGAATGTGGTAAGTGTATTAAGGTGCTATGTAGGAAATGCTTTGTTAGGGATCTTATTCCTATTAAGAGAGTTATGTGTAGTATCTACCTGTGTAAATAATTTTAAATATGCATTTTCTTTGAAGCTGCTGTGGGTGATGTAAGTATAGACCTATCTGAATTCCAGAGTCAGTTATTATTTGGTGGATGCTTTTTACCAATGATTTGAGCTCTTACTCCCTGGAGGAGGAAATGGGAAGCCACTCCAGTTTTCTTGCCAGGAAAATCCCATGGACAGAGGAGCCTGGCAGGCTGCAATCCATAGTGTTGCAAAGAGTCGGACACTATCAAGTATACACTCACAGTGAGCTCTTACTGTTTGCAATTAGTCAGTCACCCCAGGTTCGGGGTGGGGAAAGAAAGGAAGAGTAAGAGTTAAGTAATACTTGTCTAACAAGAGAAAAATGGAGAGAGTTTTACTTACTGGTATATCTGGTCTTAAAAAGTAAGCCTCAGGGCAAGAACATGGTTTAAATGTTTTTTTTTTCCTTGAGTAGTAATGGGACAGAAAAAAAAAAAAGAATTAGGGATTCTTAGTTGTTATCTTTACTAAGAGTATTTTGAGACAGGTCCCTAGAAGGCAATTAAAATTACTCTTTCATATCTTAAAATATATGTAAATAATTTTGGCACTCTATTCCTTTACTGTTTAAAGCTGAAACAAGGTACCAGTCTGTTATCTACTCCACTAACCTTTAAAAATCAGACTGATTTATCTGGCTATGGTGTTAGTGGGATTTTGGTCTCTTTAAAATAGGAAAAAAAATATGCTGAGGTTTCTCCCACATCTATGCATTTGTGATTTAGAATGTTTTTAGAACGTATCTCATAATTTATTTTCATATAATAATTTCAAGTCTTGGTATATGTGGTTGCCCATGCAAAACATTTGAGAAAACATGATCAGGAAACTGAAGGGACAGATTTTTCAGTGTGGATCAACATGCAGACTTCAGGGACTCCAAATAAGTTATCTGAACTACCACCTCCCAGACTGAAACAGACATAGCTCATCATCACGCAGAGGAAATTAACCCCCCCTCAAAAAAAACATTGGAAATATAAAAATAAAAACAATGGAAGCAGAGCCAGAAAGAATATTTTTCTTTCTATAACATTTCTAGAACATACAGATGTGTTCTGCATTAATACATCAATGAGTCTTGTATGTTTGCTTATTTTGTAGTCTATCAAATTAATACTTAACCAGAACTGGGAAGCTCTCCTAGTGAAGTGACAATTAAGCCTTTAAGTTAGTATTTTATGTTTGTAGTGTTCCTAACTAATCAAACAACCACTGCTTTATTTGAGTACGAGTACTCATTTACCAAGTCCTTGCAGTACACCTACTACGTGTCAGGCCACTGTTATATGCCTGAGATATTTAAGATACATTTATACTAAAATGTAATTTTTTATCTCAAATTCACATGCAATTCAGCATCCTGTTTTTTCACCTGGTTAATCTACGTAGAGGGAAGGGTATTTGAACAAAGAGAAAAGGAAATGCAAAGGTCCTAAGATAACAAATACCTTTATCTGTTGCAGAGAAAGTTAGTGTTATTGGAGCAATGTGAAGCGCGGGGAGGAATAGAGGAAGATGGAGATGGAGAGGCAGCCAAGCTACTCACCACATAAGGCTTTGTAGGCCTTTATAAGAAATTTGGATTTGGTTCTGAGAAATTTCAAGAAGGGCGTGAAAGGGTTTGGTTTTAAGAAGGCTGCTTTTTGGAAAGAAAATTGTTAAAGAGCAAGAATAGAAGCAGAGAGTCAAGGGAGGCAGCTTTTGCAAGAGGGTAGGCCGGAAGTAACAGTAACCTGGACATGACATAGTAAGTAGTAGGTCTGGAAATATATTTTGAAACTGGAGTTAAGAGGACAGGCTAATAGATTAGATTTGAAAAAAGGAAGACTCACAGATGATCTGTTGTCTCTGACCTGCTTCATTACTCCTAGAAATATCATTCAGAAAAATAATATTTAGGGGCAAGTTT